TGTGTTGGGGAAGGGGGCGTTAAAGAAATTAAAGGGTTTCCTACTGAAGACTGAGAAAAATGTAGCTGTGGGCTACAGGCATAAGATATTTAGTTCTTCCTCAAAATGTGCAATAAAAGATGCATTAGCAGTCATCTCTATTCCTATGTTGGTTGATATAGCAGTAATTATTACTTCAAAATAATTAGAAGAGTAAAAAATATTTTTACAGAGAGAACACAAGAAATGATAGTAAATTGTAGCTACTTTCCACCTCAAGAAAAGAAAATACATCTGAAAATAGGTCCTGAAATTCTGATCACTTTATATTGTTCTTCATTTTTTTATTTTAGGGTTTGCTCCTCTACAAAATAAAGATTGGGGGGAGGGGGGGAGAGACAAAAGCAAAAGATTTTTCTAAAAATTTTTAAGCATTCCTGATCTTTATTGAAAGGTCCTACAACCAATTTCAACATATTCTCTGTACTGTAACCATTTATTAACTGTTTGTTCATTTGTTTGTTTAATCCTCACCCAAGGATATTTTTCCATTGACTTTCAGAAGGAGTGGAAGAGAGAAGGAAAGACAGAGAGAAATATCAATGTGAGACAAACTCATCGATTGGTTGCCTCTGCAACACAGGAACATGCCCTTAACCAGAATCAAACCCGGGACCCTTCATTCTATAAGTTGACACTCTATCCACTGAGCCAAACTGGCTAGGGCTTTAATACCATTTTAAAGGAATGTTTAAAAATCTTGTTAGAAGGGTTTGTGTACCTCTTCTTTAAAAGTCTCTCAAAATAAACTATTGAGGAGTCAAGCAATGGACTTTGGTGAGAAAAGGAAAAAGTATATGGCAATGGTGACTAATCAATGAGCGCAGTCAGAAGAATCAATGGAGCTTCTATTATGAAAGAGCTCACATTTACTCAAGTGCATTCTTTAAAACCATTCAAGCTAAATGCTTTCGCATTTGCTCTTCTTTGTACACCTGCAATTAAGTAATTAAGGTGTCAATGTTCATGTTCTCTTAGAATAATTCGGCACATTCATTCTAATTGTACTACATCTAAATAAACAGGCTATATCACCCTTCATTCTTTTGGAAGTCAGTGATCTGAGAATAAAATTAAATTATCCTTAATTTAAAAAAATGAGGGAAAAAAAACTCACAAAATTAAATTATCCTAAATTAAGTTTGGCCAGATAATAACAGCAACCAGGAAGCACCTAAAGTGTCAAAATGAAGAATACTGTGGCTCTAAGCTGATAGGCTGACATGGGGGGAAATGCATTCTTTGTTGGCAAATTATATAGGTTTTGTCATAAGCAGAACGATCCTGATGGATGCGCAGAAGCTCCAAGCAGAGCAGAGGGAGAAGGTGGGTGCAGCAAGAGCCTTGGCTGGTGGGTGAGGCGAGAACTTCAGGGTGGGTTTGGGGCACAGGATGCCTGAGGAAGCGTGTAAGTGTTTGGGGGCTGGAAGGGTGGGCAGGGATCAGATCGGGATGGATCTGACGCGAAGGAGGCTAAGCTTGATGTTGAAAGCCAAGTTTAAACACGTAAAAGGTTTTAAGCAGACAAGAAACATGATCAGATTGATGGTGAAGGAAGGGGTGAAGGTAGAGAAATTGGCAGAGGAAGGCTGGCTAGAAGACCATGGCAAGACCAGACATGAAATGATGCACTGAACTAAGACAATGTCAAGGGGGTAGTGAACAGGGCACGCATAGGAAAATGCTGAGATATGAGGAAAAGGCCAATGGATATACAGGATGAGGTATGAGAAACTAGGCCTCTTCTCCCAGGCTGATGGTTTTAGTGGACGATATTGCTATTAGCCAATACTAGCAATACACAAGGTGGACGTCGTTGATGAAAGATAAGCTAACTTGCTGCATCTGAAGGTTCCATGGAACCCCCTGAGTGAGGAGTCCAGCAGGTTGAGAACTCAGGAGACAGGTTTAGGTCCAGATAGAGAATTCGTGGGCAGGGGCATCGGTGGCAGTTTAAAGCTGTGAGAGGAAATGAGGTTGCCTAAGGAAGTTTCCAGAGTAAGGAGTGGGGAAGCCGCAGTTCAAGGGCAAGTGAGAAGAGGAGACACCCGGGCTGGAAGGGCCAGCTGGAGAGAAGCGGGGGCACCGCTTTCTCTGATTTAAACAGAAGTAGGGACACTGCCTGCAAGAGATGAGAAGCTGCAGAGAGGTTCAAGGCTCCTTACTGATGACTTCCATCTCCTTTGTTGAGCAGGAGAGGAGGGCAGGTGCAGAAGATGAGGAGGCAGCAATGGGGAAAGAGTTTTTGCAGACCAATGGCCAGAGCAGCTGGTGGGGGTGGGACGGGCACCTGTCTGGGCCGCACAGCTGGGCAGGCAGGAGCTCCACCAATGCAAGGAGCACTGTAAGGTCAAATGCAGGAACATTAGGTTGATTCAGAATTTTATGGTTAAAAGTAACTTTAGAAACCGGTCTTTCCTGCCCTACTCTTGATTTCTTTCCTCTCTTTCATTCCCGGGGCCCCATATTATAGATATGTGTTAGGAAAGAGAAGGCAATAAGGGCCAGGAAGGCTCTTTTAGGGTCAAGCCCTGTGACGTGTGTATGAACTTTAACTTCATGGGTTCCTAAAGCAGTTACTACAGGTCCAAGACATCACTGACACATGCTTCCATACCACAACCACGAATCCACCTCCTCTTACAACCATACTTCCTGGAAACTCTGTCCACCTGGCAGGGCTCCCACTCCTTACACTCCACTGAACCCAGCCTGCCCAAGTCCACAACCCCTTCTTATTGCAAAATCAAAATCAAAAATCTTCCATATTTATCTTTCTTTAATTCTCTATCGATCCAACAATACTGGCACATTTCTTAGAATTCTTCCTTAACCTACGTCTCCATTCCTTTTCCTCCCACCTCCTACATGTTCCCAAGATTTTACCTTTACTCCTTCTATCTTTCTCACTCATGGAGTGATCTACTTCCCACCCACCATTTCAAACTGATGACTCCCAACTCCTGTCCTAAGATCCAGGGGCCCTCGGGAGGGATCCTCAGGAACCCAAAACCAACACTGGACTCATCATCATCTTCCTTCCTTTCCAATCTGCTTCTCCGCACCTGAGCCGGAAAGAAGCTCGGGAGCTCTTCCTCACTGCTCCCATCCCTCATTCCCGACAGCCAATCACCCTGGGAATTCGCCCTTTCCTCCAACTCAGTGACCACTGGAGTTCAGCCCTTCAACCCTGAGGACAGAACCCTCCTAGCAGGTCTCCTAACATCCCCTCAAGGCCCTCCAGAAATCCCTTGACCACAAAGAGCTTCCTAAAACACAAACCCGATCATGTATTAGAATGACAATGCTTCTCAGAGTTACTCACTAACTCCCCATAGCCCTTTGCTTGACACACCAGCCCCCTCCCACAGCCTGACCCACCCCTGCATTGCCTCCCATGGGCCACCATACAGAGTTACATGTGCCTTCCAAACCCCACTTCTGTGCCTCTAAACTATTGCAGAGGCTGTTCCCTCTACCAGGATATCCTAATCTTTCCCTATCGCCCAGCTTTTCTCCTGCCCCTCTGACTGTCCCTAGATTCTGTTGTGACACCGGCTCTTCTGGGGAGCCTTCCTCTCATCCCCCAGCAGGTGCTGGCTGCCTTTCCTTGCTTGGTTCTTCAAACTCTTCCCGGCATTGACCATCGCAAAGGCTCCCAGTCACCCGCCAGCCTGGGAGCCACTGGAGGACAGAGACACATCTCTTCACCTCACTCCCCCACCCCCACCCACCCCCGCATCTGGCATGGCGCCTGCCCATTGGATGAAAAAAGACTTCGCTCCTGAGCCAGCCACTGCTCTGCAGTGTTTCTAAGGGATGACAGTATTTAAGTAGAAAAATGGAGCGCTGCAGAGCTATGGAGGATGAAGAAGAGGCCTGTGTTACTCTCCACCGGAGAGAGGCCGCTGCACAAGGAGCCATGAATTCTTAACTGGAGAGGCCGAGGGTGGCCAATCTGGAAAGGAGACCAGGCTAAGCAATTAAAGTAATTTATCATTCTCAGCGCCTCTTTCAGGAAGCTGATGCTCATGTTCTTTAGTGCAACTGATGGATCTGATCTGTTCTGCAAAATGGGGTCAAAGAGGTGTGTCCTTAAAAAAATGATTATCTTAGAAGAATAAACCAGACTCAGACATTTTTGAAGGAGAGCAAGAAGACAGGAAAGAAAATCTGACCTGGCTGATTGAATGAAGACTTCTCTTGTTATAACCAAACATGAGACCTCGCCCACAGCAGAAACAAATTTCAGTATGTGGAAAACTACAAACCACTGTTTCATGAGGAGCCCTTGCACGTGGCCTTCCTGACCATGAGGACGCCTTTCTTCAGATTGTGCTCTCCTTGCTATAGTTTGCTTGTACCCTAAATGCTCATGGGTGCAGGAGCATATGATAAGCTTCTGTATTTTCAGCCAAGTTTCACAGGTATGAGATTAGCTCCTCCAAACAGGAGCCCTCACAACATCTAAAACTGGGAAGGAAGGATATCAGATAACACATCACTCGAGGTGTAATCAGGAGAGAGAATTTCTGGCTTTTAGAGAAGATCCTGGTTATAAATCATTTGATTAAAGCTTCCCACACACATACTCCCATTCATTTACAAATGCAAAATTGTAGAATTATGGCCAACCTAGAGTCGATCTTGGATTCCCTGTTCAATGCCTATATACCAGCATTTATAGTTGATAATGTTATGACTAGATAGTTTGACAAGCATACCTACACACTTCCCTATGGAGTTGGAAGATTCTTAAGACACTAGCTGGTGTCCACAAGGGGGCAGTATATCACACAGAAGAAGCCATGGTGTCTGTTACCAAAAATCAATTTCATTCCTGTAATTGGACCCTGGGAATCCCAGACTTCCCCTTATATGGAATTGGGTCTGACTTAAGCATTCTGTGGAACAAGGGAGATAAAAACCTGTCTTCATCTTCCTTTATAAAGCCAGTGGAACATGATATGGGTTTTTTTTCAAGTGCAAGAAAAAAGCCACTTTCTAGCTGAACGTGCTTATTTGAGCAGACCTAAAACAGAGCTTCAAAATTATGTGATGTTACATAACAATAACAGCTTTCCACTGTCCTTGCTCTTCAGAAAAACCATACCTAGAGCATTTTTAAAAAATATATTTTATTGATTTTACCAAGAGATGAATTGAGAGGGAGAGAGAGTTAGAAACGTCGATGAGAGAGAAACATCGACCAGCTGCCTCTTGCACACCCCCCACTGGGGATGTGCCCGCAACCAAGGTACATGCCCTTGGCCGGAATCGAACCCGGGACCTTTCAGTCCGCAGGCCGACGCTCTACCACTGAGCCAAACCGGTCCCGGCCGTAGAGCATTTTTAAAGCTTCAGACCAAAGTAAACATATCTGAAAACTCCAGATAATTGAATCACATTAGTCAAATAACTGGCTCCACCTCTTCCACCACTGTAAATGCAGACACAGCCTGGGAGCTTATGGACTGCTAGAATTGAACAGGCTCTTGTGGAAAGCTCATACTTACACTGCTTTCCTACATACTGTAGTCCCCTATGCTGGCCCTAGTTTCTATGGGTGCATGTTTGGTGTTTTGCCTCTGAGACTACAAAATGGGAAGGAGAGGAGCCCAACAGTGCAGAATCCATGAATTCTCATTTTCTCATCATGAGTGGGACAGGGTCTTTTTCTCCACTGGATTTAGAGCTTTCGGGAAAGGCTACTCAACATCTCCCAAATCAAGAAGTTGGCTACAGGTCTGGAAAGCTTATGAAACAGAGGAAGGTCTGTTTTTTCTTCTGCTACTAGGGACTTAAGGGAATTAAAGGAATTAGGATTTTCCTTTTTGAAAATTCACTGTATATTCGCATCTCAATCAAGACATGGCCTTCCACCTTAACTATTTCTTCCTCAAATTAACCCTTAAGGAGACACAAATGAGAAATATTGCCTAACCCAAAAAAAGTATTTTTCTAATTAAAAAGAGAAAAGAGTCTATGTATGATTCAAGCATTTGGAAGTTTGTGGTCAGAAAAATTAAAATAGATTCCTTCCAGGATAGCACCTCCCTACTCTCCCCCAATCCCTTCCACAAGCTCCCTTCCCTCCCCCACCTCGCTACCCCCAGCAAGTATTAGCAGGGGCCCTTGTAGAGAAGTGGGGGAGGGAAGACCAGAAGATGAACTTCTACCATGAAGTAAATATGTACAAAACATCCATACACATATAGCAAGAAGCAGTGACAAGTGGTACTTGGGAATCTTTCTGGATAAAAGTCTTTTTAATTCTCACCAGCGTGGCTCAGTGGATAGAGAGTCAGCCTGCACACCGAAGGGTCCTGGGTCCAATGCCCAGTCAAGGGCACAAACATACCTGGGTTGCAGGTTAGCTCCCCAGCCCAGATGGGGCTGTGCAGAAGGCAACTGATGTGTCTCTCTCATATCATTGTTTCTCTCTCTACCTTTCTCTTTCTCTTCCCTCTCTCTCCTCCTTCCTTTTCACTTAAAAAAAAATCAATGGAAAAAAAATATCCTCAGGTGAATATTAACAACAACAACAACAACAACAACAACAAAAAAAAATATATATATATATATATATATATATATATATATATATATATATATTTCTAACCCAGAAATAAATTTTATGAACCACTACAGAAATCAAAGAGTTGTAACAAAACTACCAATCAATGTAAGGCTTCCCACTTCTTTTCAGACAGCTAACAGTGCTAGCTCTCCTAGGGCCCATAGGTCAAATGAATTAGGCTTGGGAGGGCCACATCAAAGGACCGCGGAGGCGCCTGGTGGCCCTGTGCTGCTGCTTCATTTCCCTCAAAGTAGGGACTGGAACCTGGCAAGCAGGCAAGACAGGCTCTGTCTACAGGCTATTCCTTGGGGCTAAGCATGGCATGGGTTTTGGTCCTGACTGCAGAACCCTTCACTCTGAAGTGGGAGGTCCAGCCGTTCTGGACAGGTGTTCCTCTAAGGAAAGGCCTGTGTTCATTCTGGAACCCAGCCTGTGCTTACTCCCACGCCAACCTGCACGGCTGCTGCCTCCCTCCTTGTTCTCACCCCTCTGACGTGGTGCTTCAGGTCAGCCCTGCAGGAACTGAGAGCAGAAAGAGGAAAAGAAAAATAGAAGGGCACTTCAAACCCAAGAGATAGAACAACAAGTTTCCTAGTTAGAAAGAGCTGAATAGATGAAATAGGAAGGTGATGAGGAAGAGCCTTCCAGAGTCAACTCCACACTGAGTGTATCTCCCAGTGCAGGAGGGAAAAGCTACTGGGTGAGCTACTGGCCCAGGAATAACAACTAATGCCAAAAAGTAAGCTTAACAATGCTTAATTAAATCTTTGGAACAAGATAACGTTTGCAGAAATCAGAGAGAAAACTTATCTACTGGGGTAGGGAAAGGTGCTCCGACTTCCAAAAAATGGACAAAAGAAAAAGAATTTTTTAAAAACCCAGATGACAATAAAGCAAGAGGAATTGGGTCTGTTTAATTGGCTCAGTGTCACAGCCAGCACAAGGCCATGTGCAGAACGAGTCAGCACAGAGCACGGTGTGTGTGATGCTTCCGACTCGGGGACACAAGCTAGCAGTCAGGCAGTCGGGCAGAGAGCGATAGCATGCTTTCCTACTGAACACAGAGACACTCTTGTCCTCTGAGGAAAACGGACAACAATCCTACAACGCTTGTGTAATTTATTTCACCTAAGACTTGTGCCCTGACTTCATTTTCTGTCTCCTGCCCTGGGTATCTGATGAATGTTATTTTAATGCAGCGGTTTGTATTGGTGAACAGCCCAGTCTATTAAAATATCTCCCTCACCTTAGTGAGTTCCAGTCTAGATCAGAGGTCAGACAACTATAGCTCATAGGCTAAGAAATTTACATTTTAAAATAGTTGAGGCAAAATAATAATATTTTGAATTAAATGAAATTCAAATTTCAGTGCTTTTCCTGAGACAGAGTCATGCTTATCATTTGCATATCATCTATGGCCACTTTTCCACTCCAACATCAGGGCACAGTTCAGTACAGTTGACTCTTGAACAACATGGTTTTGTACTGCATGGGTCCACTTATATGTGGATTTTTTTTTTCAATAAATATGTAGAATATTATAAATATATTTTCTTTCCCTTATGATTTTCTTAATACATCTTCTTTTCTCTAGCTTACTATATTGTAAAAATGCAGTATATAATACATATAACATACAAAATAAGTGTTAACTGGCTGTTCATGGTATCGGTAAGGCTTTCATCAACAGTAGGCTCGTAGTTGTAGTTTTTTAAGGTTTTTTTTAAACATATTTTATTGATTTTTTTACAGAGAGGAAGGGAGAGAGATAGAGAACTAGAAACATTGATCGATGAGAGAGAAACATCGATCAGCTGCCTCCTGCACATCCGCCACTGGGGATGTGCCTGAAACCAAGGTACATGCCCTTGACCGGAATCGAACCTGGGACCCTTCAGTTCGCAGGCCAACACTCCATCCACTGAGCCAAACAGGGTTCGGCTGTCGTTAAGTTTTGAGGGACTCAACCGTTACGTGCGGATTTGGAACTTTATAGGGTGTTGGTGCCTCTAATCCCCACGTTGTTCAAAGGTCATCTACAGAAAATGTTTTAGAAACTTCACTGTCATAAGTTTGTCCCCTAAGTCAGCCAGAAAGCAGAAAACTTTCACAAAGTTTTCTTTTCAAAAGGAAAGGCTTGGGGAGTATCTGAAAAGTCACCGAGTACTTGGCTTATGGAAGGGTGGGGACAGGCCGGGCACTCACCAATAGAAGTGCTCCTCCACCATCTTGGTCACCGCCCTGGAGATGGCTCTTTCCTGAGGCCCCAGGTTCTTGTTTAAGTTCACGCCAAGCTTCTCCTCCAGAAAGTCAATGATGAATTCTGTGCCAGAAACTTTTTCATGATTATATTCAATCCAAGGCATTTTCCCTTGAGCAGAGAGTTTTCCACCAAAATAATTCTAAGCAGAGTAAAGTTTAAAAGGAAAAAAGCAATGTTTTATTTACATTTCACTGTGTGATTAACAGAAACAAATACCTCAACCATATATTTGATAGTGACTATACTACTCAAGTGAATGTACTCAGCATAAATATAAAATCTTAAAGAGGATAAGTGGTTGATCTTTAGAAAAAAAACACACCAAAATTGACTGCACATGAAGATATTATTCTTCTCCAATTAATTTTATCACAGGCTCTAGCTAATTGTTTAGAGAGAGAGAGAGAGAGACAAAAGAAAATAAAGCATATATCCATGCAAAGGCATGTACACAAATGTTCATAGAGACTTTATTCGCAACTGTCAAACACAGGGCGGGGGAGGGCAAGAGCTCATCAAGAGGTAAATGAATAAGCAAATTCTGGTATAACCTTGCAATAAAAAGGAATGAACTACTGATATACACATTAACACAGGTAAATCTCAAAATAACACTGCTCAGTGAAAGAAGTCAGGTAAAAAAAAAAAAAAAGGAGTACTTACTGTAGGATTCCATTTGATAAAACTCTAGAGAATTTACACTGATCTATAGTGACAGAAAGCTGATCAGTGTTTACTCAGGAGGATAGGGAACAGAAAGTGGCAGGACAACAGAATTATAAGAAGGCAAAAATAAATTTTGTGGGTAATGGATACATCGCTATCTAGATTATAGTGAGTTTTCATGAATATTTACATATGCCAAAATTTACCAAAGTATATATTTTAATATGTGCAATTTATAGCATGCCAATTATATCTCAACTAGAGGTTCGGTGCACAAATTCATGCACCAGTGGGGTCTGTTGGCCTAGCCTGTAGGATCGGGCTGAAATAGGCTCTCTGACATCTCCTGAGGGGTTCCAGATTGTGAGAGGGTGCAGGCCAGATCAAGGGGCCCCACTGGTGCATGATCAGGGCTGGGAAGGGACATGGTAGGTTGCCCATTGGGGGAGGGAACACAGAAGGGTTCCAGGGCATGTTTGGCCTGTCTCACTCAGTCCCAATTGGCCGGACCCCAGCAACAAGCTCACCTACCAATCAGAGCGTCTTCCCCCTGGTGGTCAGTGCACCTCACAGCAAGTGGTTGAGCAGACTTAGCATATCATTAGCATATTACGCTTTGATTGGTTGAACCACCAACCACACATTTAGCATAGTTGGCTTTTATTATATAGGATAATGCTGTTTATTTATTTTAAAATGTTACATTTAATAAATTTTAAATATATTGGATTCCACATCTTTAAACTGTTTCTCTAAAGAAGGGGTCAGCAAACTTTTTCTGTAAAGGGCTCAATAGTAAATTTTAGGCAGCCCATATGGTCTCTGCCACAACTCAACATTGCAGTTGTAGCTCGAAAGCAGCCATAGACAACACATAAATGAATATGAGTGGCAATAAAAAGTTGTTCACTGAGATGTGCATGTAATGTAATACAAAATAGTCTTCCTCCTTTGACTTCGGCCCACGGACCTGCATGCTGTCCACCTCTGCTTTAGGAGAAGCCACTTACCCTCATCACCTTCTAGAAAAACCTCTGTCACCACACCCATCAAGCCCTGCACAGGAAGATCCTTCCTTGTACAGGTGCTTGATGACAGCAAACTCTGGGAGGGCCTCCTTCTAGGAGACCCCGGCCAAATCTCAGACTAGAAACAAAATTTTCCAAGAAAAAAAAATTACCATTTGAAAGTTTTTTTGTGTGAGAAGTTATTGGGATTAACGAAGATGATTATTGCTCTAATTGTTCTTACCTGAATCGTACCAAGATTTGTACGTGCCTTTCCCAAAAACCAAACAGCACATCTCACCACAGGAGATAAAAAAAATATAAAATGTTACAAGATGTCTAAGTCAAGTCTCTCCATGCCTAAGAATGATGCTTGTATGTTGAATGTGGTATGTATGACCATTTACTTGGCCTCCAGTGAGATAACAGGGTTATGGCTAGAAATCATGATCCTCAAAGGCAGCTGTCCATTTGTGTCCATAAGGACTGGGTTTGGACTACGTTTGAGGGTCACAGGCTTCTCAGACCTCTGAGGAAATGTCACCTTTTTGGAAGGCTAAAAACCAGAGCAGTTGTTAGCTAATGGTGCTTCCTGCTAGCTTTAATGGAACGTATTGGAAACTAACTGGTCTCTGCCTCTTGGTATCAATACTTTATCCATTGCTTATTCTAAAGAACTGCATTCTGGGCCCAGCCTAGAAAAGGGGAGGTAATGGGGCTGCTGATAGCCATATTGCTTTTGGGCAACTAGGAAAACAAAACCTCCTCTGGAGGATACTGACTATGCCAGCGTTCAGAGCCTGGCAAGTCCTCCCTGCCCCCACTCCTTCGCCAGGCACTGCTGTGGATAGATGTGCAAGACTATGGATAGATGCAGGGTCTTTTCCATGCACTTCAAATTTCTAAATATGATTATATTACTTTTAAAATAATTTCCTTAACTTCCATAAATTTGTTAAAGAACACCTGGCCTAATCTTATTTAAACAATTGGAGTCTGATTGACCCACTGAGGATAGTTTCTGAAAGCAATTTTGGGAAGTTGAAGAGGTAAACCCTCTATATTTTTCTCAAGCTGATATTTCTCAAGCTGATAAGTCTGTCCCTGGTGCGGTTAATATATCTACATTCACACTGCATGATTAGCACAGCAGTGAAAGCTATAGGCTCCATCATCAATGTGTGACCTTGAACCTCTCTGAGTCTCCCTAATCCTCCATGGGCCTCAATTTCCTTCTCTAAAAAAAAGGAAAATATTATAACAGTTGCTAGGACCAAATGCACATTAAGTGTCTGACAAAGTGCCTTCATTATAAGGACTAACATCACCATTACCATTCTGTGATGGAGAATCTGAAACCTTAAAAGAAATCCCCAAGTTTTGGCATTCTGATTTGCTACAGTCATGATGCCCCAAATTTTCAGCTAAATTTACATCTATATATTTTAAAGCCTAATATGCAAAGTGTCCCCTTAGGAGTTCTATGAACCAGAAGTTGGATCGATCGCTATGATGTGTGCTGACCAGCAGGGGGTGGCATGGAATGAAGGGAGGCCCTGGCCAGCAGCCAGCAGCTGATAGGGACCCTACCTGTGCATAAATTTTGTGCACTGGGCCTCTATTCTATTATATTCCCTGAAGCTTTGCAACTATCTTGAAAGATCTTCCATCAACTAAATTTGAAGTAACTTGAGCAACTTTTGTGGGTTATTACTCACTGAAAAAAATCCATGCAGCTATTATTATATAATATATTATACAAAAATGTAATATTATAGTTTTATAGCATAATATCCTCATTTTTTTGGATGTACACACTGAAATAGTGAGGGATTAGGTGTTATGATTTCTGCTGCCTACTCTTAAATGTTGCATTAAAAAAATTGTCCATAAAGGTATGTTTTAACAGAATGGGGTTATGTTTGTAATAAGATATGTGTAGGCTAAGGTTTGTTAGCTTTGTGGTCTAAAGCAGCAGTCGCCAACCTTTCGGACCTCACGGACCACCAGTGGTGCTCGGACCACTGGTTGGCGACCGCTGGTCTAAAGTGTTTATCTCTCAAGTGGATTACTAAGTAGACCAAATCTTTTATTGCTAAAGTGTTCTGAGATACATGCTTACAACAACGTTCATTCCCTAGGATCTACTTTTTAAGCATAACATCCCCTGTAGTTACCAACTGCATGCACAGTCTCTAGAAATCAGTATGCTAAGCTGACCAACTTGGTGAGAGTAACTATCCACAGGGTTTGTCTCCAAAGAAAAGTATTGTTTAGCATGGCAAAATTATAGGCCACCCTAGGGATGTTGTAAAGCCGTTTGAAAGTAACTCAGAGCAAGTTAGAAATGTAGTGCTTAAGTCTCGTTCTGTTTTAAAAGACTGTGGCAAATACAGACAAATTAAAAAGAAAAAAAGATTATCCATAAGTTATGTATAAAGAGAAATAAAGCAAAAAAGTCACCAACTGGTGAATCCAGGTGAAGGGCATATGGGTGTAGCTTAGAAAAAATTTTAAAGATTGGGATGCCACCCCAATAATTGCAATTTTAAAAAATTAAAATAGATAGATAGATAATCAATAGATAGATAGATAGATAGATAGATAGATAGATAGATAGATAGATAGAAAAAAAGGCAAGAGCAGCAAATAAACAGAACATCAAAAATTAAAACCGAGAGCCAGAGCAGTGAGTTCCAAAGAAGTCATTATCTCTTTAAAAAAAATTACTGTGTGAAATACATGCTTCATATACAATCAGCTATGTCAAATGATGTAAGTGTTTTCATGTATGTCTAGAGAAATGAATGGAAGGATGGTCCAAAATATCAGTGACAGCAACCTCCAGCTAGTAGGATGGCAGATTTTCCTTTTCCACTTATAGTTTTTTGTGCTGTTTGAAATCCTTATGACTGTCCTATGTCAAATACATGTAATCAGAAAAAATACAAAAGCTGTTTTCTTTCTTTTATTACCCATATCTGTGGGATCTCCCTTTACATGTTTTGCAACTTCCCATGAATCTTTAATTATTGCAAAATGAACACTTTTTTAAAAATGACCTATTGATATTTATATCTTGATTTTAAAAAGATAATAACTATGACCAACACATCAAGTTTAAAAAAAAAAAAGCTTTGTGAGTGCCTACTGATGGTCATCAAATATTTATTCCAGTCTCACTTAGGTTAAAAAATAGAAACGTTTCTAATATAAAGCCATGCTCTTAGGAACATGGTATCCAAATACGTATCAAAAAGGCATAGGGCAAAGAAGGGGCCGAGGGTGGAGCCCCCTGGGAATAGGACGAACCTCTCTACTGATCCTCTGAGACATGGGCACCGCCCACCATCACTTCCCAGGCACCACATCTTCACAAACCCGTGCTGATGGCCCTTGGGCCTCGAGGCACTCGGGCAGGCACACCCTCTTCTAACCCACAGAAACACTTTCCTTCCACCCAGACCTCTGCCCCAGGCTGAACACCCCTCCATTTATTTCCCAGAGAGACCACACAGAAGAAAAACACTCACACTATATCATTCCTTTTAAAACACGGATCTATACTGAACAAGGAACAATGATTTTGGACGTGGGTAAGGGCGGCCCTTCTCAAAGGCCTCGGTAAGAGCTTCAGGCTTCACGGTGAGGCGTGTCCTGCTGCTTCCGTTACATGAACTGAAAAGCAGCGGCTCCAAAAAATGAGCCCGGGTAGGCAGGCACGTAGGCTGCTGGTAAAGATGGGGCAGACACAATCTACAACAGCCAGAATTTGGAAACAGCCTAGGTGCCCGTCAGCAGATGATTGGATCCAAAAACCATGGTACATCTACACAATGGAATACTATGCTGCCATAAAAAAGGAATTCTCATCATTTGCAGCAACCTGGATGGAATTGGAGAACATCATGCTGAGTGAAATAAGCCAGTCAATGAAAGAGAAATACCACATGACCTCACTCATTTATGGATAATAAAGAACAGTATAAACTGATGAACCAAGAGACAGATATAGAGACAGTAAAGCAACAGGCAGACTGTCAAATTACAGTGGGGAGGGGAGGAAGATCTGGGGGAGATAGTAGATCAACCGAAGGACTTGTGTATATGCATATAAGTACAACCAATGGACACAAAACTCTGGGGAGGGAGAATATGTATGTGAGGGAGGGAGGGAGAGGGGGCAAAAAAAATCAATAAAATATATTTTTAAAAAATAAAATAAAATAAAATATTTAGCTAATTAAAAAAAAAAAAAAAAGATGGGGCAGAGGCAGGAAAGAAAGGACAGCCAGCCAGGCAGTGGCTGCCAACAGCAGGATCACTTCCTGGAGTGGACGCACACATGATCTTGGAAGCAGCCAGAAACTTAGAGCACAAGATTCAGGCTCTGACCCTCACTGCCATGGCTGAAGGGGGGAGCTTGTCTCGAGTGATGATGGAGCGGAGACAGGCAGCTGCAGGATAGCGTTCTCCTCCAATCAGCACCCCTCGGTGACACACATCTTTAGTGCCAACTGCCAACACCAGGCTGAACAGCGATCTTCAAACCTGATCCGCTGCATTTAGAGAATCCAAGCCTGGTCTGTTTCTATGGCTATTTTCTCCTCCATCACTGGCTTAGAAAGTCCTGAGTACTTTTCTCCCTGCCTCTGTCTCCAGACTCACCCTTGCTTTCTGCCCCCAGTCATAAAGACCCGACACTTTCCCAGCTCCCCCAGAGTCCAGATTCGGTGCCCCTCCACCATATTCCTAGGGAACCTCCAAAACAGCACTACCAAGCTGAGAGCATGACACTCCATCTCATCCTAGTGCAGCTGAGAAGGGTCCCCATCCCCTCCTCCGTAGAGAAACTGGCTCAGAAAGTACAGACCATCGGGAGGCAGCCAACAGCTTGGCTGGGTGAGCTCTCTCTCCAACCTCCCTGCTGGTCTGTTTCCAGCCAAGGACACCACCACCTCAATGCAGCTACCTAGTAAGAGCTTAAAGGTGAATCCCTGACCTGTGGGAGTCATGTGGAGGGTGTCAGCAGACCAGAGGGACCACACTGGTCTGGGGAATGCCTGGGGCTCACCTCCTTCCCTGTCTTCAACCGCCTTCAAGGCACACAGCCTGCAGCCTGAGCTTTAGCCCTTGCTCAGTATGAATTCCCAGGCAAGGAAGCCAACATCTCCAGTGAGAGGAGATCTCAAACCAAAATAACTGGACACCAGAGGAGTACAAACACGGTGCGAGAAGGGCAACAGACTCGGTATCTACAAGGTGAGGCAGACTTATTGGGACAGACCAAACATTTTTAATTAGCATAATAAATATCCTCTAAGAGATAATGAAAGAGATTAGTAATACAAACCAAGGGGAACTATTAAGAAGAAAAAATGTAAAAGTTGAACACAATAGGATGAGAGGAATAGCACAATCGATTCAAGGAGAGAATAGAGCCATGGGAGCCCAGAGAGGAATTATCCCAGAAGGAAGCAGAAGAGAATGAAGGGATACATTCTGAGATGCAGAAAATATCTGCGGAGCCTTCGGTATTCAGAAAACACGAATAGGAAAGGAGAAAGGGAAAACAAATAAAAAAGAAAAGAAATACTAGAAAACTAGTAATTCCCCAGAATTAAAAAGATTAAATACTTCAAATTAAATATTTGTAAAGGACCAAACAAGATACTAAAGACCCACACCAAGGCACATTATAGTGAAATTTAAGAATGTCAAAATTAAGCAAATACTCTAAAAGTTTCCAGAGGAAAAAAAAATGAAAGAAAAGAGTCAGATTAACATCAGATTTTCCAATAGCAAACCGATGCAAAAAAAAGGCAACTGAGTTATATTGTCAAATTTTTATATAAAAAGGAAAATACAATTTTTAAACCACTGAAGGAAAAAAAAAACTTTGATCACAGAATCATCCAATGCGGGGGCATAATGAAGCTCTCAAGCATGCAAAGCCACAGACTGCCACTGAAAGGATCACTCTGAAAATACTCATCAACGAAGTACTCCATTAAAAAGATAAACAAATCTTGTAGGATCAGAGATGGGAAATTAGACTAGTCAAATAACTTAATAAGGCCTGCTGTAAGGACCAAAACAAACAAATAAACAAAAGAGATAATATTTCAAAAATTCTGCAAGTAGCAACACAGATGGAATGAGGGCTGGGAAGGAAGAGACCCAAGGTTCATGTGAACCTGCTAACACACCTGTATCATTAGAGGGCACATACAATGGGATACATTTAAGAAATAAATAGGGATAAATAGATAAAATTAGGATCTTAAGAGCAACCACTATAGAAACAAAAATAGAATTTGTTTTAAGTGACAAGAAAAAAAATTAACTATCCAATTGAAAGCAGGAAATGAGAAAAAGTAAAAACAAAGTAATAGTAAGGAGACAAGTATTAAATAAGATGTTAGAAATAAGTCTTAACAGCCCAACTGACGTGGCTCAGTGGTTGAGGGTGGACCTATGAACCAGGAGGTCACGATTCAGTTCCCGGTCTGGGCACATGCCCTGGTTGCGGGCTCAATCCCCCATCTGGGGCACATAGGAGGCAGCTGGCCAATGATTCTCTCTCATCACTGATATTTCTCTCTCTCGCTCTTTCTCTCTCTCTCTCCTCTCTCTCTTCCCCTTCATTTCAGAAATCAATAAAAATATATATATATTTTTAAATAGCCATACACTAGGCTAAAGGGTCAGTAAATTCCATGGACTTAATGTCACTAAAACTTCCTGCTCTGACCATAAAATTGAAAAACAGCAACAAAAAATCAAAACCTTAAAAAAGTTGCAATTGGCTAGACCTTAGGTGAAAAGGAAAAACATCAGGGAATTTTTTTAAAAAATACACAGAATTAAATGACAATGAAAACACAACCTGTCAAATCTGTGAGATACAGCTCCAGCACTGAGAACAAAGTATGCCCTTAAACACACGCCTATGTTCCCTCTCCAATGCCGAAATGAGGCAGTGTTTCCCTGAAAGTCACCCAAACAAAACATGGAACCTGTGAAGAAATTCATTTCCCTGGTGCCTGCTGGGTGCTCTGCCCCCAGGATTCATGAGACAAAATGTAATGCTGTCAATAAATAGAAACCTGAAGGATAAAACCACACCAGGCAATGAATGGTACACCCATCTGTATTAACAGCCTACCCAAACTATTAGCCAAATTATACTCTATTCAGGAAAAAAATAACATGGCCCTGACCCCTACAACAGTTCATGCTCGCCCCCTCTAGCAAAGAGTGCCGGCCCTTCCTACCATGTGAGATTGGGGACTGTCTAACAGATTTTGCTGTTACGAGAATAAAACGTATTTGCACACAAGTACCTGATAGGGTAAGTCAGCCATCCTTAAGTAAGTTTCCATTTTCAAACAGAAAGGAGACAAACTGGGGACACCATTGTTAGGTCTTGCAAACTGATGCAAAATGATAGCATCTTTGGAGTCAATCTCTTGCTGTTTCCTGTTAAAACCAAAACAGAAATAAAGAACAATCCACGTGTTATGCACTCAGTTCTCTTCATTCCTCAGAGACGCCCTGCTGGGCTGTTGCTCCTCAAGAACAAGCAGATGTTTGTCTTGGGGCTTCCCTCACCCGGAGGCACGGAGCCACGGAAGAACCTTACAAGCTCCGATTTTACCGCGACCTCCAGGGCCCAGAAAAGTAACTACATATCAACCTCCTTCTGGTCCCTGAAGCTTACGGACAGGAAGAGAACTTTCAGGGACAGGTCCCCCTCTCCCCCTTACTGGCTATCTTTACCTGCCAGGAGACACGATGGATAGATTAAAGTTATATTCTGGGTTTATTATGTGCCAGGCATGGTTCTGAGGGCTTCACAGGCATCATCTCCTTTAACCTTCACAATAATCCTATGAAGTAGATGCTTTTGTGACCCATGTGTTATGGATGAGGAAACTGAGGCACAGAGGATGAACTTGCCCAAAGCCACATCACTATGGCAGACGCTAGACTGACCCAAGTAGTCAGAGCCTGTGTTCTTGAGGCTCTTCTTCGGCAAGGCTCTGGATAACAAGCAGATTTCCTCGGCCCTGACCCACGTCTGCAGGGAATCTGAGACTCCAAGCACTCTGGACCCTCTTCCCAACTACCTACCCCTCCCCTGGCACTTCACCTGTGGAGCAGAGGGACTGGCTTCTGTGCTCTCTCATACTCTCCACCTTCCTAGTGTCCCTACTTTCACACGGCACCTATCTCAGTGCCCCTACCTTTGCTCCTTCTTCTGTCTCAGCCACACATTACCTATGTTTTCTTTGGCTACTTTTTTGGGTGGGGAGGACTTCCCTGGTATGGTTTTTCAATAGCCGCCATGAAGTAAAACAAATACTGGATTCCAAGTCTGGACACTTGGGGTCAAGTCCACGTTCTGCTTCCTACTGACCTCGCCTCTTCTCCTCTCTCACAGAGGAGATAGTGAGGAGAGTACCTATTCTGTATTGATTATCCTGAGAATTAAATAAGCTAATATCTATAAATATTTGGTGAGCTATCAAGCATATGTAGGAGGGATGGACATTACTCTTATTCAAAGAGAGATGGTCCTATCCCCTTACACTACAAAACTTCATCATTTCACAGTTTCCCTCATACACCACAAGAACCTTCTGCAATTTCCATCTTTTACTCTACCTAACCACTTCCCACTCTTCCCCTTGGCCTTCCCTGAGCTCTGGTTCCCTCACCTCATTCCTAGCTGGGTCCCTCAAGTACATTTATCCACCTAAGCAAGCAAGGACAAGCTCTTCATACCACCATCACACAGATGGTCACCTACTTCGGCATCTCTGCTCAATATCACAACTGTTTTGGAGAAGTTTACCACTGAAGTGCCCATTCCAATTAGAGAGGTAAGAATGGCTCCTTTTTAAAACATTGGTCAAATGAATAAAAATGTTTGCTGCTTCCTGGCAATTTTTGCTATGAAACAAAGGTTTTCGTTTAGATGAAACGTTTGGGAGGTCAGATATCAAAATTAAGGAGCCATTTAGACTATATTCCTAGAAAGTGCAAACTATAGATTTGACAACTAATTGATTTTGCCCACTCAAATAATTCAAATCATGGAGTGGTATTTTCATGTAAATTAGCTGGGCAAAAATATAAGGGCTGAAAGGTTAGGAGGTAAAAATAAAATCCCCTGAGCCACTGGCCAGAACAATCTAATTGTAATGGTTAACTTGGGCCATGTCATAAGAAGAATGGAAGCTAACTACATGGCAAGCATATATGCCAATGACTTTGTATACATGTATATCACATGATTTCAATAACACTTCAGAGTGGATACTGCTACAGTTTAAATTTAGTTTATTATACGATATTTATATTTTATAGTGGACAGGAAAACTGAAGCTCCGAGAGATTAATCACATGCCAAAGGACTACCAACTTGAGATCAAGTTGTTAACAGCTCCAGTCCCCAAGCTCTTAAGCACTTCAACCACACCAAAATGAATAATTCCTCACTTAGTAATATGAAACAGCCAGTTTGACTCAGACACTCAAGCCTAACTTTCTGATGAAAGTCTATAACGACTAATGTCCAACTTTTACTGTCCTCTCAACTGTATGTCAAACATGATGCTAACTCACTTCATCAGCTCTAGGGAGAAGGCTACTATCACTATCTCTGTTTTTCAGATGAGAAAACCCAGCAGCCAAGAAGCCCACTCTCCAATCCAAGGTCACCTGACTGATGAAAGCAGAGTAAATCTGAACCCAAGCAGGCCCCAGAGCCCACCCTCCACACATCAGGAACCTCTCTCTAACAGGATCAGAGAAGCAGGTGGCCTGTTTCCCAGAAGCTATATTTTATAAAGTGCCCTTATGACGAGGGTTGTATCAGAGAACACTTGTACAGCAGCAAGACTGGCCCCTACTCCCACTGTGAGCATGCCTCTGTGGATGACTAATGAGCTATATAGGGAGATCAGAGTCTGACCTATGGGTTTCTCTGACTGCCTAAGTTTTCCAGGACAGGATGAACAGTGGGCCTTACATGCAAATGAGCTACCAATAACAGTCATTATTTAGTCACTCAACTTACAAACAATACATTTCCAAATGCCACATTGAATTTAAGATAGCTGCTTGGCTGAAACCGGTTTGGCTCAGTGGATAGAGCATCGACCTGCAGACGGAAGGGTTCCAGGTTCAATTCCAGTCAGGGGCATGTCCTTAATTGCGAGCACATCCCCAGTAGGAGGTGTGCAAGAGGCAGTTGATCAATGTTTCTCTCTCACTGATGTTTCTAACTTTCACTATTCCTCTCTCTAAAAAAAATCAATAAAATATATATATATATATATATATATATATATATATATATATATATATATATTTTTTTTTTTTTTTTAAGATAGCTGCTGGGCTACCTCCACTGGGAGAAAGAAAAGCACAGGGTTGGGACTATATTTGCTTAAAAATATTGTGATGGGGAAAAATTCAAAACACCTACTTGGGTTATACTCATTAATGAAATTTTGTAAATAATTCTCACCCATCAACTTAACTTTCCGCTCTGGAGACACAGCCATGGATTAAGGTTAAGTCTATGCAGCAGCAAATCCAAGCAGGTGGTGACACGTATATGATTGCCAGTGAATTCAGACAGTATAGCCATTTCAAGGTATATTGTCCACTCGCATATTTCATATTGTTTAGTGTTTTCCCTATAATACACAGACAGCTAATGATTTCCCTGTAAGCAGAGGTCTCTTTCATGTAACCTCTGAAACTCAGTCCCAGACCTCAGTTTTTCCCCCACTATCCCTCCATGCCCCAGAAGCTGTCAAAAATTCAGGTGCTTCCACAGGTTTGTCTTCCCTGAGCTATGCCCCAATTCTCTACATTTCTCTTCCTCTCCCCACATCAAAATCTACTTCACAATTGGTACTCTCTAAGGAGGCCATGGTAAAAATAAAAAATAAAAAATTCAGGCTCAACCTACACACATTCCCAGATTTGAATCTGGATCCTACTACTCTTACTGTGTGATCCTGGGCAAGCTGCTTACCCATCCTGGGCCACCATTTTGTTACCTATAAAAAGGGAATCAAACATCCAATGCTAGTTGTGAGGAGCAAATCTAATCACACAAGGAAAGCACTGCTATGCAAAGCCCCTACTGAGGACTCAGAAATGGGCAGCCACTTTTATCACTAGCATTAGAACAGGATTTTCCAATTCAATTTAGGTATCTGTCAAGAAACAAAAATGAGTCAACCGAGGATTAAACACGCCTCAACTAAAAAGTATCCAGGCAGTCTCCTAAGGAGGGGAAGGACACACTTCTGTCCAGAGGCCTCTTCTTTGTCCAGCGACCACACCCACTAGGGTGTGGTCTGCTCCCAGGGTGAGCTCGTCGCCGCTATTTCTGCAAGGTCATTTAAGCGAAGGTTAAACTCCGTCCTGTGAAGCGAGCCTTCACTCCCTTCACAAAGTGGGCAACTGGTGAGAAACCACTTGGTGTGGGCTCCTGAAAAGAGGGCTGGAGTATAATTGAGAAACAATGGGGTTACCATTTAAATTACTGCACAAATGTTTCCGTTTTTTATACAGCTTGAAATAGAGTTCTAAAAGTAGCAAAAAACATAAAATAACCTAGAGAGATCATTTCACTTTACTTTTTTTATTTTTTTCAACTAGACTAGATTCAAACACTGTGCTAAGTGAGAGCATTTAAGGTGCAAGATGGAAATAAAACTTCTCCATCATGACTAACTAATACAGACATACATTTCCCCAGACCTAAATGATTTCCCACCCTCTCGGAGACTAGAAGTATTCACAGTACCTGAGCTGGTCTGTCACAGTGTCCTCCTGAATGCCTGCAGGCCTATGAAAGGTCACTGCCGCTGTCTCTGTTTACAACCTACTGTGTAGGACTCCCCCACTGGAAAAAGGCAGCGAGGGCACATTCCTCAGTGTTTGAAAGTTACTGGCCGAGAGAGACATGCTAAGCTACTGAACATTGCTTGCTTCTGGCCATCTCCCAGTGATAAGGGGTCCAGCACAGAGAAATGTTAAAGGTAAATTAATGTAGCAATTACCCAAGCGACCCTCTCAGCAATCTGTGATTGTTATCCTACTCAAAGATCTCGTGTGGGGCTGGACGTGCCAACGGCAGGGCCTCCATTTTCTGCTCATTCCAAGTGAATCCTGTCCACATTCTGCGGCAGGCAGCCGGGCAACCGTCTGTGGCACTGGCTGACCCTCCTGTTCTTGACAAACACGCCCATGTGCTAGTCCTCTGTCTCCTATGGCTCACACAACAATAGCGTGTACACCCGAAGACGGCGCTTCGCTTTAACTAACAGATTAGCAGAGAACCAGGTGAAGGTTGCATCAAAGCTACACAGCACTAGGCCTGGCCCTGCAGCCTTCACAGGAGCCCAGAAGTCTCCGGACCCTTTGCAATTTCAGCCTTTTCAGGATGTTAACATTGGGGCGGAAGGGGAGGGGCGGGGGCTTCAAAGGGTAGGGGGTGTAGCATAGAAAACCAACCTCTAAGTAAAACATAAGATTAGTGGTTAATGGTCCAGCATTATTATCTATAAATAAATAAGGTCTTTCATAAAAGTGTAACTTCGTATTTCCACAGGGCCTAATTCTGTTGCTGTAAAACATTGCACTTAGGATCTTGCCAAAGACTCTTTGCTTTCAAGCACCGAAAAATCTGGAGACGAATGTTTTTCCCTCCCAGTACCAGTTCAATTCCATCAGCTCTGCACTGCCCCTCCAGGCCATGGTCACCTGAGCATCTGAGCGGCCAGACGGAGGGTCCCCCCTCGCGCCAGCCCCGCCCAGGCCGGGGGCCCCTCTGCGCCCCGCGGGGGCCCTCTCTCCGGCTCACCTAATGACCAGCAGTTCGTGGAGCACATACGCAGCTGCGGCCAGCAAAGCGCCCCCGGTCAAGTAAAGTGTTTTCTTCCACCAGGGGTCGGAGCCCAGCCCCGCCATGATCCCACCGTAGTCCTGCAAAGGGAAAGCGACGATGTCCCCATCAAAGGAGAAGGGCTCCTCGGACCCGGCCCACCAGCCGAAGAAGGAGACGCTCTGGTTCCAGCTCAGATCCACCGCGCACGGCCGGGGCGAGGCAAAGCCCACCCCCCAGTGCATGCTGCGCGGCGGGCGGCGGGGCCCCTCCCGGGCGCATGGGAAGGGCCGCGCGGCCGGGCGCGCTCAGCGGCGGGTTGCGGGCGGCGGCGACCCGGGCGGAGGCTGCAGAGCAGGAGGAGGTGGAGAAGGAGGAGTTGAGAGGGTTCCGGCCGCGCCAGGAGGTCCCGATCGGCGGCACCCCAAGGCCCAGGGCGGCCGCAGGGCTCCCTCGCGCCGGCCTCTCCGAGCCTCCCTTTGTGTCGGCGCCGGGAGAAGGCCGCGTGATGTCATTGCTCCCCGGGGCAGGGAAACGGGCGGGATACTGTCACCTACCCCGCGCCCTGCCCCCGCCCCGCATCCCCGCGGCCCGGCGGCCTCCGCCCCGGCCCGAGCTGCAGGGCTGGGGCGCGCCGGACCGGCTCCGCGCCCCGCGCCACGGCCCCGGGAAGGCTGCTCCCGGGCAGGGCCGCGGGGGTGGCCGCAAACGCGGCTCCGCCCAAAGGAAACTGCAGTCCCAGCCTGATCTCCGTCCCTCTCCACCCGCGCCTCCGCCTCGGCCCCAGCCCCTCCCGCGGGCCGGAGCGCGGGGAGCGCACCGACTCACCTGGCGCCGCGGGAGCGGGAACGCCCCCCACCCCCCACTCCAGCCCGCGGGGCCGGGCTCCAAAGCCCGGAGCGAGGAGGGAGTTAGACGGTGCTGGCGCTGTGCACTTGCACAGTTTGTAAAAACCCTCTCGTGGCGTTACACCGGCACTGAGGTCTTGTCCGGGTGCTCCTGGAAAGGTGTCTGGTGTCACAAATTAGAAAAATGTGCCCCAGAGATGTTCCTTCTGTGAGACGCAGCTTAAGCCTTTCTCTTGGAAATCATTTTCAGGTAACTTGCTAGTGTGGGGTGTTTCCCCCTTTCCTTGGTACAGAAAAATCTGTCAAATTGCGTGTATGCTCAATTCTTTCCTTTGAACTTCATTTTTTTTTTTAAGGCGTGTAAGTACAAATGATAGAATCGTGTTTCGTGGAAGTTTATGATATACACGCAAATTTTAGCACGAGCATGGGTCATTTAAAATTGTTCAGAGGAACTGGAAAAACCCAGAAGGGGGGTTATCTCTCAAGTAAGGAGAAAGGAGGAGGGATATTGCCTCCAGGCTTCTCATGAGAGCGGAGATTGTGGCGAAGGGAGTCCCTTTCCTTTCTAATGTGTATCCCCTACCACACCAGCCCTTAAAACGGGCAGTGAGAGGGGTCATACTGTTAAGAGTGGGCTTATTGCCAGTCCCAACATGATAAAGGGAGGGGCTAGCCAGGCCGGTACCCAAGGGCCAGCACACGGTCCCTAACACACTGTGTATGCATATATGATCTCTGGGGAACGACAGTGCATGGCTGGAAGCGATGGCCAGGTGGTAAGGAGTGGGACCCAAGGGCCTGCCAAGGAGGCTGCGAGGCCTGTCCATCAGAGGTAGAATGGACAAGTTTGGGATGGGAGCAGAAGCGCTCTGTGCTGAGAGGGGACAAAGCGCGCAGGCACCAGTGTTTCTCCATGTTTCTTCTTTGTGCCTCCCACATAGCACTCAGCCTTTGCTCTCGTTAAATGCTGAGCCAATATCTATAGATATCAGTTTGCTATTTGGTACCAAATCATTTGACTGAGTGTCTAGGTCCAGTCCTGGGAATTGGGCATAAATCCCCTTGAGCCTCTAGACTCCATTCTGGACACCTTTCCTTCTTTACACATTCTGAACTGTACAAAATCCAATCTTAGCCATTGGATTTTGTACAGTAAAGAATGTGTAAAGAAGGAAAGGTGTCCAGAATGTGACAGTTATACTGTCACCTTTTGAGAAACATATAAATGTGACAGTTATACTGTCACCTTTTGAGAAACATAGATTCAGACATTTCCTCATACAGATATTGCTGTGCCCATACCACATGACTATATGAGAATCAGGAACATGGAAAGCAAAAGGGAGAATTCATAGTGATAAACCCTATGCCCAGGAAACAAGGTAGAAACCTATCAGAGGAAGGTTGATATTTTAATCCCAGAGAGCCCCTGGATGCAAAGGCCGCGGCCCACTGCTGCATCCTGGGAGTATCAGATAGTCTTTGAGCAGTCCATGGTCTTTGGTTCAAATATGGTTTCCATTTCAGAGACACCCCAAAGTGAATGCCTGTAAGATACAAATGTAGGTAAAAATAAACTCCCATAAGAGAAGCTAAATTATAGTCTTAAGCAATCTGATGCAGGCTAACAGTTAGCTTTTATATCATATCCATGACATAGAATAGAGAGGATTATTAGAACTCGGGCTTGTAGAAAGGGGAAAGGAGGCAGAAGAGAAGACCTAAGAATTGGGCAAAAGTTTGGTATGAGAATGTCAGGACAAAATTTAGAGAACAAAGAAAGCAGCCACCACCGTGACGTCAAAGTAGTGATGCAAGCTCTAGCCAACTCTACGAAAGATTAGACTGAGCGCTGCATTGGAGCAGCTGCTCCACAAAGAGGTACAATCCAGCCTCAGAAAGAAGGAAGAGGACCTCCAGTGGCACAGTCGGTTAGCGGGTTAGTGCGGTGCTTACAAGAAAGAAGGCAGGCCATGGCTCCGGCGGGGACTCAGCAGCAGGCCAGTGCTAGTGGTGTAATTAATAGCCAGATGAAACTCAACAGAACTGGGTTAGCAGAGGATCTGAGGAGTCCAACTCTTCAAAGAATTGCTTCTTAGAACCCCATGTAGAGTCAGATCCCAGGCCCAATCCCCTGGGTTCCTGTAGAGCGGCTATGCAGGACCCTGCACTGCAGGGTGAAGGGGAGGGAGCTGAGCATGTCTGTCATCCAGCTCCTCCTCCTGGGTACCCACAGCTTGTGAGATGGAATGAGGACCTTGGGAGCCAGAGTGGACATCTTTACCCCCCACTGCACCCTCCTACCACCACCACTAACTCTGGCAGCCTTGGTGTCATACCATTAGCTCAAAGCTAGAGGCATCTTTTTATTTTTTATTTTTCAAGGACTTTGTTTCACTAACTTTAATTGAGGTGTTACCAGACAAGAAAATGGAAGTCCTGTCTAGTGATTTTTCTTCAGTAACTTTCCAAAACAATCTGTATTAAATAAGTATTATAGTATTGTCAACTCCACTTTACAAGTGAGGAAACTGAGGCTCAGAAGGTAAATTAGCAAGTTTACTTCCCAGAGCTACATAATGATAGAGCCAGCATTCAAACCCTGTGTATCTCCTCCAACAGCCTTAGTAGCTAAGATAGTTCTCGCACCAAGTACTACAGTAGTGCTGGAGCGCTGTCCATGGTATTCTTTCTTTACACCATTCCTTCTTTACTCATTCTGAACTGTGCAAAATCCAATGGCTATAAAGCCTCAAATGCCTACTGATTATACTGTCACCTTTTGAGAAACATAGATTCAGACATTTCATCATACAGGTACATGCTATGCCTGTACCATGTGACTATGCAGCCTGGTCATGACAATAGAACAAGAAACAACTAAATCAGTGCTTCCCAAACTCTAAAGAGCATAGGTATCAACAAGGGGTCTGCTATGATGCTCAAACAATGGACAATTAGATGGGCACTTCTCAAACATTACGGTGCATGTTAGCCACTGGGGATCATTATAAGGTGCAAATTCTGACTCGATAGTTCTGGGATGGGCTCTGAGATTCTGCATTTCTAACAAGCTTCCAGGTGAGATCAGACTACGCTTTGATTAACAACAGTCTAGACCACTGGCTTATGAGGAGAATCAAAGACTACCCAAAGGGACCCCGCATGTTAGATAGTTTTTAAGACAAATTATGGTTCTTATAAGTTTAGAATATAGACAGATGAAAACATTGACTTGGTAATAGAATCAGACATGGAAAGAAAATTAATCAAGACTCAAGAAGAGCAATTATAATAGACAGTAATGCGTATCACTTCTGAGAGGTCCTAGTCCCAGTGATAGATAGGAGCTGAGAGAGGAAAAGGAGATGGTGTGTGTGTGTGTGTATATGTGTGTGTATGTGGTGGTGTTTTTTTGTTTTTTTGTTGTTGTTTTTTTGCGGTGTAAAGGAGAGGAGAGAAGACATAGAATCCTGGGGAATTAGTAAAATCATGGCACCTTTTCCAGATGCCAACACAACATAAATAAATAACACTGCTTTATAAATTTCATTGATCTTGGGAAAACATCTTTCACAAGAATGTATTCATGTTTCAAAATATAGCTTAAGAGTTTTAAATCCTTGGTGCTATGGTAATAAGTGGATGTGATGTTGGCACTATTGCTTGTTTTACATAATGAAATTTAAGATGCTATTTTATTAAAATCTCTCAATATTTTAAAAATAAACAATGTACTTGGTAATGCTACCCTGAATTTTATTGTAAAGCTTCTGCTTTCTTGACTTGACTTATGGAGAAGGGGTCTAATATTTCCCTCTCCATGTATCCTGAATCCTAATTATGAATCCAGAGGTGACTTTGCCTATCTGCTTTCTGATTCACTGAACTGGGCATTTTATAAATCATTATATAACCCTCAGTAAACATTTCCTACAAGACTGACTTCAGGCTAAGAAAAGGGATGCAAATAATATCCAGGCTGAGATGAGTGAGGGGCGATTGAAAAGGTGGGTAACAATTTGACATTTTGAGCTTCTGTAGTGTATTTGTTTGCTTGCACTGCCATAACAAAGTACAACAGACCGGGTGGCGTAAACAACAGAGATTTCCTCACTGTTCTGGAGGTCAGAAATCTAAGATCAAGGTGTTAGGAAGGGTGATTTCTTCTGGGCTTGTTGGTGGATATTTTTTTCTGTCTCTTCACATGGTTTTCGTCTGTGACCTAATCGCCTCTTCTTATAAAGACACTACACTAATCATATTGGTTAAGGACCATCCTAATGACCTCATTGTACCTTCATTGGCTTTTTGAAGACACTATCTCCAAGTTAAGTAACATATTGAGGTACTGGGGATTAGGACTTCAAAATATGCATTTTAGGGAGACACAATTCAGCCCATAGCAGACAACCTATATAATGCCCAAGTGGAGATGCCCAGTGGCAACTGAGAATGTGAATTAGAAGAGATATGGGCCTGAGATTGAGATGGCTGGGGGTCATTAAAGCTATGGGACAGCCTGCCAGCATGGCTCAGTGGTTGAGTGTCCACCCATGAACATGGAGGTCGTGGTTCAATACCCAGTCAGGGCACATGCCAGTTGTGGGCTGGACCCCCATTGTGGGGTGTGCAGGAAGCAGCCAATCAATGATTCTCTCTCATCAATGATGTTTCCATCTCTCTTGCTTTCCCTTCCCCTCTGAAATCAATAAAAATATACGTGTTTTTAAAAGCTATGGGACATTCTCAGCAAAAAAAAAAAAAAAAAAAAGTATTTGTTTCTTATTTTGGGGGCAAGGGTCCTGGAACCTTGGAAGCCTTTCTGTGCACCCCAGGTACAGTCTGCTTTAGTTAGGAAGGACCAGTGGAGATCCTGTGTTGTCAGTGAGTTCTGTGTCCATTAGATCCTGCCCGTCAACAAGAAACAAGGATTCAAAGCTAGCAAAGTGGAAACACCTGCTGTCCATATTGACCTTGGAACTCCCCACCCCCACTCTCAGTTCTGCCCACATCATCTTGAGAACATATCCTTTTTTGGGGTCCAACTGATGCCTTTTAGCTTCTAGATAGTGGATCATTTATTATTAGCATTGCGTCCTTTTCTTGCTAGAATACAAGAAGTTTCTTGATCTCACAGTAAATTCCTTTGCTTGAATTTCATGCAAACCATCAGTGTCAGGATGATTTTTGGTTTGTCTTGTGTGTTTTTTTGACACAGAGAAGGCTTGCATGCAATTTGCATCTTATTAATAATAGTCATATAAGAATTAACCAATGTCACGCCAATAGATTTAAAAGAAGTATATAGTCAAATAAGAATTTCCTTCCTAATAAAGTCACACTGTAAGTTAAAAGCAATTGTGTGACTGTACTAACGCTTTCTTTAATTTAGTCTTTTCTCATTATTTCCTATATCAACATTTACTTAGGAGTCTTAGATCTTCAGACCTACTTCTATAAGCCTATAATGATGCATGTATTTTTATGGAATTGCAGACACCTCACCGGTCCAGGTTTTAAAAACTTCCAGTGAAAAAAAATAAAAAAGTAAAAAATAAAATAAAAAATAAATAAAAACTTCCAGTGAGCATGGCTTGACCCTCGTTGCCCAGCAGTATCAGTATACCACCTCTACTTAATGCTCTCAGTGCTGTTTGTATTCCAGATCAGGTGGCTCAGAAGTCCAGTAGATGCCCCTAGCAGACAAAAGACATTTCAAATACTGCCAATATTTTTTATGTAGTATTTGAACTCAATACTTTTCTTCAATTTATCATTAATATGCAGGCAGGCAGGCGAGCAGTTAGGAGCCAGTGGTCCTGGATTGCAAGATGCAGTTGGACATTCCCCGAGGAGACTTGGATTGGAGAGGGTGCAGGCTGGGCTGAGGCCCCCCCCCCCCCCACATCTGGGCTTTTAGTATATATATATATATTATATATATATACACACACACACACTGGTGCACAGGGCTTCTAGTATATATACAATCTGTAAGATGGAGTGATTTCCTATAAATATGCGTAACCTATTTATTTAAGAAAGGCTGAGGAACCTAAACTCCTAAAGAACACAATACCAGGACAAAATTTTTTTATCCATAAAATAATTCCTTAAAAATAGCGGTTAGATAAAACAACAAAAACTGTTTTCCAAGGTTTTAGCTCTTTTTATTGATTTTCTTTCCTGCATAACCTCTCTCAAAAATTAAACGCTATATCTGTTGTTTTTGTAAACATCAGGCTTTCAGTCATGTTCCTAAGGTCCTTGGAAATATTCATTTCTTCAGCTCATCATGCACACTGGGTTGGTGGCAGCATCAGCTCAGAGCTTTTCTGCATCCCCCTTTAAAAGAAGCTCAGAGGGCACCGGGTGCTCCTGCTTCACAGCGTGAGCAGCATAGTTAAGGCTGGTATTTCCACTCCAATGCCAATGGCCTGAGAAGGGGTTGTAGATCATTCCTGCCACAGTTTGAACTGAGAGACCATCTGAAAAGCATATCACAAAGAGTAGATTTAGTAAGTATTTACCTTTCAAGAGCAGAGTCTCATGAAACTCTCCATGTTAAACGAGGACGTCTAACTCAACAGGCAAAAACACTTGGTCACCACGTGCCGATCACTCCTTACTGCAGCACAGAACATAAACCCCAAAGCCAACTGCATGGCCTCAGCCCAGCTCTGGCACCTAACAAATGATCCTGGGTAATTCATTTCACCTTTCTCAATGTCAGTTTTCTCGCATGAACAGAACATTCAGAGTTGTCAGAATTAGATGAGATATGTGTATAAAGTAGCACCGCACTTGGAATTTGGTAAGTACTCAAACATTAACTGTTTTTAGAAAATACATACCTGCCAACAAGTGATTGTTCCTATAAAGCATCTTTAAAATATTTTTTCTACTCTGTTTTCAACAAAGTTACTTGCAAAAATCTTTAGAACTTACTATATTGCATTGGACTGACAATATTCCAAGTAAAATCAAGTTTATTGATATATTGTTTATGAACAAAAAACATGAGATGAGTTTAAGTACTTGACAGGAATATTAACTGCCAAATAAATGAACTAATAAACATTATTACTTAAAGCAATGTAACACATAAATCTAATGTTCATTATGAGTAAAGCAGAGCTAGGCATTGCAGGGAGTACAAAAAAGAGACAGAGTTGAAAAAAAAAAAAAAAAAAAAAAGGCCTAGTTTGACTTCAAGGACCTTACAGGCCAGAAAGGATCATAAAAACACCAAAATAAGTATAATATAAGGCATGCTATAAAAAGCATAAAATACATAAAACTTCATAAGGAAGTTCAAAATATATCTGAGTGTGGCGCAGTGGTTGAACATTGACCTATGAGTCAAGAAGTCACTGGTTCGATTCCTGGTCAGGGCATATGCCCGGGTTGTAGGCTCGATCCCCAATGTAAGGGGCATGCAGGAGACAGCCGATAGATGGTTCTCTCTCATCATTGATGTTTCTCTCTCTTTCCCTCTTCCTTCCTCTCTAAAATCAATAAAAATATTTTTAAAATTATATATATTAAATATTTTATAAATATTAAATATATAAAAAATTTAAATATATAATTAAATACACACACACACACACACACACACACACATAGAAATCAGAAAAAATAATACGTATGATAAGTTAATTCAAGGAGTGCCTCATCAGGACAAACTGAGGATGTGTAAATAACAGATATTTGTACCTCATTCTTAACCACGTGAGGACTAAACAGCCAAAAGGTATTCACTGATCAACTATGATTTGCTTGGTTTTAGGTTAGGTGCCTCAGGTGAGAGAAAATGGTATCTAATACTTAATCCTAACTTCGAGGAGTTTATGATCTAGTTGAGGAAATGAAACCAACAGCCAAAGAACAGTGGCCTATTGAAGTGCTAGGTTGTGTGATTATTAATTATAGGTACATTAAACATTTAGCTAGGCCTTGAAAATTCTTAATTGGAAAATTCTTAATACTTACTTGGTTCCAGAATGCTCTCTAGCTTTTCAGGTGAAACAAACTTCTCCCACGTATGAGTACCTTTTGGTACAATACCTGCAATTTGCTCTGAAAAAACAATTCCCAAGGCATAGGATAGCTGTGTTTTGTTGATTGTAGTAATAAATAAAGAACCACCAGGCTAAAAAATAGAGAGAAAGAGAAGTAAAATTTTAAATGTCAGGAACATTAGTTAGGTAAAGGCTTCCCTTCCCCCACCCTTTTCCTTTCTTCCAAATAATAATTTGCTTCTGTTGTTGTTAATCCTCACCTGAGGTTATTTTTTCCTTTGCTTTTCAGAGAGAGTAGAAGGGAGGGAGGGAGAGAGAGAAACATCGATGTGAGAGAGACATATTGACTGGTTGCCTCCCCCATGTGGGGATCAAACCTGCAACCCAAGTATGTGCCCTTAATTGGTTCAGTGAGCAGGCCAATACTTTAACCACTGAGCCAAGCTAGCCAGGGCCCTTCCAAATAATTTAAGTGCAGTTAAGATACATAAGCATGAATACAATATAATTTACTAAAATAGTATTTTTTCCCTTTGAAAATTCATTAATAAAGACAGTCCACTGCCAATTCAGTCACTGAGTTATGCAACAGTGCTTATAACTCTTAAAATCATATGATTTTATGTTTATATTATACTAGAGTCCAGATGCACAAAATTCATGCATGGTGGGCATGTCCCTCAGCCCAGCCTGCACCTTCTCCAATCTGGGACCCCACAAGGGATGTCCAACTGCCCGTTAGGGATCGGGCCTAATCAGGCAGTCGGACATCCCTCTCACAATCCAGGACTGCTGGTCCCCAACTGTTTGCCTGCCTGCCTTCCTGATTGCCCCTAACCGCTTCTGCCTGCCAGCTTGATCATCCCCTAACCACTCCCCTGCCAACCTGATTGATGCCTAACTGCTCCCCTGCCAGCCTGTTTGCCCCTAACTGCCCTCCCCTGCAGGCCTGGTCACCCCCAAATGCTCTCCTGTATAGGCCTGGTCACCCCCAACATCCCTCCTCTGCTGGCCTGGTCCCTCCTAACTGCCCTCCCCTGCTGGCCTGATTTCCCACAACTGCCCTCCTTTGCAGGCCTGGTCCCTCCAAACTGCCCTCTTTTGCGGGCCATCTTGTGTCCACATGGAGGCAGCCATCTTTGACCAAATGGGGCAGCCCATCTTTGACCACATGAGGGCAGCCAGCTTGTGTGTTGGAGTGATGGTCAATCTGCATATTACTCTTTTATTAGATAAGATAGAGGCCTGGTGCATGGGTGGGGGCCAGCTGGTTTACCCTGAAGGGTGTCCCAGATCAGGGTGGGGGTTCCCTTGGGGCGTGGGGCAGCCTGGGTGAGAGGCCTGTGGTGGTTTGTGGTGGTTTGCAGACCAGCCACGCCCCCCAGCAGCCCAAGAAGAGGCCCTGGGTTCTGGGATTTATTTATCTTCTATAATTGAAACTTTGTAGCCTTGAACGGAGCCAAGCCTCCTGCTTGCTCCATGGCCACAGCCATTTTTGATGGGATTTATTTATCTTCTATAATTGAAGCTTTGTAACCTTGAGCAAAGGCCTAGGCTGGCAAGGGTATACTGAAAGTTGGCTTCCACTATTACCAGGGAAACCCAAGCCTCGCTCTGTGGCCACAGCCATCTTAGTTGGGTTCATTTGCATCCCCACTCCTGATTGGCTGGTGGGCGTGGCTGGTGGGTGTGGCAGAGGCACAGTCAATTTGCATATTACTCTTTTATTAGATAGGAGAATACATTGCTTTGTGTATAATATATAACTACTTAATAATAAAAATATAGAAATGAGCCGAGACCGGTTTGGCTCAGTGGATATAGAGCATCAGCCTACAGACAGAAGGGTCCTGGATTCAATTCCGGTCAGGGACATGTGCCTTGGTTGCGGGCATATCCCCAGTGGGGATTGTGCAAGAGGCGGCTGACTGGTGACTCTCATCGATGTTTCTAACTCTCTCTCTCTCCCTTCCTCTCTGTAAAAAATCAATAAAATATATATTTAAAAATAAATAAATAAAAATATAGAAATGAGATCAGGCTGCTCTTCCTTGTTACATGTCCACATTTATGTTTTAACATGTGTCAATACTGCTTTCCCTCCAGCTGCGTATTCTGTCCAACTTGTTTGGTACAGTTGACAGCTCCACATCTTGTGCAGGCAAGCAACGCCAGTAAGTGTTCTTTGAAAAGAACATTAATGATTAAGGCTTGGAAATTTTTCGTTTTTATTTTCTTTCATTAGGATTAAGCAGTGATTTTCAACTGGTGTGCTGCAAGAATTTTTAAAACATGCAATTCCTGACTATGTAGTCAAGGGAATTAACTTCTTTTCCCTTAGACTGTCAAATAGAAAAATGACAACAACCAATACAAGAGCCATCTGGTATAAATTAACCCAAAGTATCCCTTTTTTGTCAGATCAGCAAAAAAATATATTTGCTGGTGCACCATGAATTTTAGTAATTAGTCTATGTGTGCCATGAGATAAAAAAGATTAAAAATTGCTAGTATAGCCGAAACCGGTTTGGCTCAGTAGTAGAGTGTCGGTCTGCGGACTGAAAGGTCCCGGGTTCGATTCCGGTCAAGGGCATGTACCTTGGTTGCGGGCACATCCCCGGTAGGGGGTGTGCAAGAGGCAACTGGTTGATGTTTCTCTCTCATCGACGTTTCTAGCTCTCTCTCTCCCTTCCTCTCTGTAAAAAATCAATAAAATATATATATTTTTAAAAATTGCTGGTATAAAGAATATGAAGAGATCAAGATAAGCACTTAAGATAAATACAAGCCATTTATTAAACTGTTCAGTCTGCCATATTTTAGTGACTATATTGATAGTGTTTCCTATATTTATTCCCACGAATAGCAAGGACATTACCATCTCCTTCCTCTTTTATGTATTCTCATTAGCCTGGTGAGGATAAAATGCCAAAGTCTCTCTCCAAAATAATCATATAACTATATATGGGGTGGGGCAAAGGTGGGGCAGTTATTGATATGTGAAAAATAATCCCAATGATTAATAAATAATAATACAATAATAAACTGTGTTTTGAAAACTCACAACTGTAAATCTACTTTCCCCCTACCTCATATGTACATGTATAAGAGAGAGAAAATATATCTCAAATACCACCCCAAACCAAAAATAGAAAAAAGAAGGCCCTGAAATATTGCCCAGTCCATTTAAATGAAAAACTGAAATATCAAACACTATTTCATCACACATTATAACTTTTCTCTGTAAAACTCCATATTCTAAAACATATTCTTAAGAAGCACTTATATGTCAATTATATCTTAATAGAGCTAGAGGGAAAAACTGCTAAAAATAAGGGAAACTGGGTAAAATGTATATGGGAACACTTTACTATTTTTGCAACTCTTCTATAAATCTAAAATTATTCCAAAGAAAAACCATTTTTAAAAAGCTCTATTTAGGTAAGGGCTAAAACTAAGCATTGTATTCTTTTAGCTTTTGACCTCAGGGTGTTACCTCCTGAATACGTACATAACAGAGTCAATATAATAATAATAAAAATAAAAATATTTTAGGGAATTTTATTAAAAGAAAATTTGAAATCATTTTCAGAGGACTAAGGCTGTGGAGAATTATAGAACAATAATAAGGTAATGGGAAAAAACAGATTTGGAATCAAAAGATGTAGCTTTAAACTGCACTTCAGTACCTAGTGACCTCCCAAATCCTGATCTTCACTGGTCAAAGGAAATCATAACAATGCCTGCTTACCTTCCTAACTTAGTTGGTCAGATCAAGTGAGGCCATATGCATGAAGATTCTTTTAGAAGCTGAAAACTTAAACTTATCACATATAGAGTGCCTAACAAATGCTATGTCAATTTATGCTGATAATGATGTTAATTGATTTTTAAATGTTAATCCAAACAAATTTTTTAGTAATTGTCATTCAATGTCTATTAGGTATTTAACTAGACTATATCAATGGGAAAATATCACTATAAATCTATTGGTTGTATTACAATGTTGAGCACCAACATTGTTCAAGCTCCCTGGACATCAAGACGCTGGATCTGGAAAACCCTGGTACTGAGGGCGGGCTGAGAGGCAGAAGTAATCTCCAGCAGAAACACTGCTCCTAGTTCTAATAAGCATTTATTGCTATGGCTATATATACACACTGAAAAGCAAAATCAAACAAGGAAAGTCCAAAAGTCTTACTTTTAACACTTGATAGCAGCACTGTATAAATGTTTCTAGGTCCAGCACATGCTCTACAACTTCAGAAGCTACGACAGCATCAAATGTTTCTGCAGTCTCTTCCACAATCTCTTCCAGGGAACACGCTCTGTATTCTACCCTCTGATCCAGAACTGGATCAAATGATTTATGGCGCTGTGCTGTCTTAATGTTCTCATCCACAGGATCAATTCCAAGAACGGACGCCCCTAGCCGCCCTAGAGGCTGACGGTATAAAAAGAAGTTACCCTCAGGAAGAATACGAAACAATGTTAGCAATAAAAAGCTTATCAAAAAGGCAACAAGATTAACTATGAGGGGATAAATATTAGATATTTTTTATGGGAACATGGAAATTCATTATACTATTTTCTCTAGTTTGTACATGTTTGAAAATTTCCATAATAAAAAGCTTAAACATGAGAACAGTAATCACAACATAAAACTCATGAAGAACTACTTTCAAATAGTGAAAAAATCGTCTGTGTTTTCTAGGTACATTTAATATGCAAACAGTACAGTACTGATATATTTAAAGTGCAATAAATGTAACATAAAAACAGCAAATCTGTATGATATTCAAACTGCCTAAGAAACAATTTTTTCTTGATAGCTTTTTTCTGTGACTAGAAATGATTCTTCATAGCTTTCTTTCAACTTTTATATTCAATCACTTCCCACGAAATGCTCACTTTTAAACATACCCTTAATATTAATCAAAACTTGAATAGCTTTTACAGCTCTTTAGTCAATAAGTCAAAAGTATAAATCAAATTATTTTAACTTTAGAGACATAAGACTTGCACTAACACACCGAGAAGATTGTAGAATACATATAGTAAAGTCTTACTCATTTATAACTTGAAATACCACCTATTCTTGAATCTAAGGGATGTATTTTCACATATTTTACATTTCCTGAAATTTTATAATTTATGTCAGAGAGAGCAGCCCTCTGCCACATGAAGAACATGTTTTCTATGCACGTGGAACTGAGCTATGCATCTAAGGCCTGTCAGCCTCACTCCCAACTTGCTGTTAAGGACCTCGACAGACCACATCCCATGGATCCTTCTCTTGGATTTATATCCTATACTGTTGCTTAAAATATCTTTCAGAAATCAGATTATGATGCAGCATTGATAGGAGAATACAAAATAAAGCTTCAGTGCATAAATTTACTATAAGCTAAAGCAAATCTTCACGGACAGAATGAGTATTCTTCCAAGTACTCTAAAGCACCCGAGGAGGGAAGAGCCCTACCAGCAGGCAAAACTCTATTAGTTTTTAATATGGAAGCAAAGGCAAAGGATGGCTTATCTTAGCACCCAAACAGTGGAAACTGCCTAATATCTTGGGATAGAAGAGACACCAAAATTTCAAAGCTATTCTGAAAAAAAAAAAAAAAAATCCTCACTATATATAATTTTCTGAAATTTTTATATTTTTAAAGAAAACGTTGTGAATCACTTACTTCAGTTAACAATCCACCACCACAGCCAACATCAAGAATCTTCAGCCCAGACAAAGGTTTTCCTGGCTGGTGATTAGCAATTGTTTTTAAAAGATTGTCTCTTTTTAAAAAATTCAAAACATATAAAATTATTGATATTTATCAATTAAATCTTAAAAGTGCACATTTTTTTCAATGACATATTAAATTCTCATTTTAAAATGAATTATTCATTTTTTGGGTAAACAGGTCTTTTGTTTTCAGAATTAAATAACTGTTTAATTTACAAGATATTTTTGTTTTTGTTTTAATATATCTTTATTGAATTTTTTTAAGAGAGAGTAAGGAAGAGGGATAGAGATAAAACCTTGATAAGAGAGAGACATTGATTGGTTGCCTTCTACATACACCCCTTCCCTACCCCACCCCTACCTAGGGCTAGAGCCTGTAATCCAGGCAAGTGCTCTGACCAGGAATCAAACTGGGGACCTCTTGGTTCATTGGTCGATGCCCAACCACTGTGCACTACCGCCTGAGTTATTTATAAGATATTTTTAATAATCAAAAGCCGGGGATTTAAAGTAAAGTTCTTGAAATAGCGTAGTATGCAAACTGTCCCCTCGATTGAGAGTTGTCTGAGAGTTTGACCAGGGGGTGGGGCCAGCCCAGGGAAGGGAGAGAGTACCTGGCTGGCAGCCACATATATTTCGTGCACTGGACCCCTAGTATAGCAATAATTATGACTTAATTATTAGTTTAAACAGTCATGATCTAAAGAAAAACTTTTAAAATAATCTAGTTTAGATTAACCTAATTTATTTGCTTGAGATATTATGTCACCTATTAACTACACTGTCAGTACTTGCTACATCCATTTCATGTCTGCAACAAATAGGTTATTTACAGGGCTTAGGAAAAGCAGATTTTCAGAATTGGCCTATATTACCTTCTAAATTGAGTCTCTTTTAATCTTCTAACTTAATGGTGTTTTCATGATCATGTAAATAGGCATCCAAATCAGATAAACTTAGAATTTAATACTTTTATCATACTTAGTCATACTTTTATCATACTTAGTCATACTTTACCACATATGCAAATATAAGCCCATGCACACTCCCGCACACACACACTCACACACTGATAAATATATACTTAACAGTATTGAAAACTAAACTTTTAAGTTGTGTTATACATAATAAAGATACCTTAGGATATCTGTTATTGCTATTAAAATTAATTGACTCCTAAGAATAACCTTGATAGTGGTCAAATAGATAACTTCAGAATGTTATAACATATTAAAAGGACCCATATCAAATGAAATTCAATCTATTCTTCACACATCACCCAAAATGACTACCTTACACCATAATTTTGATCATATAATTCCCTTTGATGGCTTCTAATTATGCTCAGAATAAAATCTAAACTTCTAACCATAACTTGCACTACTGTGGGTGATCTTTTTTAGAATGGTCTAAATGATGGTGTCACGGTAGCCTGAATACAGTAGTTCTCAAGCTGAGAAAATATGAGAATTATCTGACCCATCCCTGCAACCAAAGCAATAGGTCCAGGGTAAGACCTGGGAATTTTGCTTTTCTAACAAGTTCACAGGTGATACTGATGTTGCTAGTCCAGGGCCTACACTTTTGAGAACCTCTGATTTAACCTAAAAATGACATTCTGCTTCTCCCTGCATTAGTGTTTCCAAAAATTCAGTAATAATGAAAAGATGCCCACATTTCCCTTTGTGCTGCAATGATGAACCAGCAAAAACCAATCAAGTCCCTGAGGGCAGTATGAGTCCGACATTCTGTATCTATCACAGTGCCATGCCCATCTCAGCTGCTCAAAAATGTTTAATGAACAAATAAATGAATAAATGTAAGAATGAATGAACAATTTCTTTATAAATGGAGTCTAATGAATCCTGGCCTTTACCTCTGACAGCAAACTAGAAGTTCCTGAAGTACGTGGACTATGTTTCAAATGATGAATGTCTTAGTAGCTTTTATAGTGTCTAGCCCCCAAGCTCTACCCAAGGTAAGTTCTTAATAAATATTTGTTGAATTGAACTATCTCAGTAGTATTCCCTTTATCAGAACTGACTAATGGTCAAAGTTGTTATAAAATGATCTTGAGTCCATAGGATCCTAGTTTCTTTTCATGAGGATTTAATTCTAATAAACAAGATAATGTCTGAATATGCTTCAAGTTAATTTCCAAAAGCACCCTAAATCTTGGATGTTATTTAAAAATTAATGGTTTCAAACAATGGACACTGAAGAGAATCTCCCTAATCTCTAAATAATTTAAAATACAGCATTTTTGAACCTAGGTATAAACCAAGAGAAAAATGAACTGAAAAAAAAAAAATGAACTGAAAAGATGATGAATTATTAAAAAGACTTGCATGTTAAAAGACTTAGAATTTCTGTAACATTACCTAATAAATGGCACCCTTAGGTCATTCATAGAATGAAGAGGTGCATATACTCCTTGCTCATCCCACCACTTGTGAGCCAGGGCCAGGAAGGTTTTCATCTCATTGCTGTCTACAGTAGTTCGAGAAGTACTGTACAGTCTTGTCCAAGGGTATCTAAGAGGTCAAAAAGAAGAGCCAGGCAAAAACTGCTGGTTTTAAAAATGTAACGTGAGTATAGTATATACAAAGATATTCTAATTTATAATTTATTAGATTCTAAATACATGTATTACTCATTTTTTATACTTCAAAACCAAGTTTCCTTATAATCACACTGCTTAAAATACATTTTATTCACAGATGAAACAATTGATTTGCTTTTGAAGTAAGTTACACTGAAAATGAAACCACAAAACTTGGCCTTCTAGGTCACATCAATGTAATAAAAGCCCAGCTATCGAACAGTGGAACAACCAGAACAGGTCGACCAGTTGCTATGATAAGCACTGACCACCAGGGGGCAGATGCTCAACACAGGAGCTGCCCTCTGGTGGTCAGTTGACTCCCAGAATGGGAGCAATGGTTGGCTGATTCCCCAACCAGTGCACGAATCCTGTGCATCTGGCCTCTAATTTAATAATAATAATAGTAGTAGTAATGGTAGCAATAATCACTTATTGAGTACTTACTAAATGTTACTATTTAAGAATTCAACATATGTCAGATCATCTCACCTAATCTTCCCAGCAACTTTACAAGTATTAATAGATACATACTACTATAATTATCTCCCTAGTAGATATTCTGCACTTGGGGGTCCCTCAGTCCAGCCTGTGCCCTCTCATAGTGTGGGAGCCCTCGGGGGATGTCCAACTGACGGCTTAGACCTGCTCCAGCATCAGTCAGATATCCTTAACGCTCCCGACACTGCCACTGCGCTCACCAGCCATGAGCCTGGCTTCTGGCTGAGCAGTGTTCCCCCTGTGGGAGCGCACTGACCACCAGGGGGCAACTCCTGCATTAAACAACTGCCCCCTGGTGGTCAGTGCATGTCAAAACAACTGGTCATTCACCATCGGGCAGAAACTGTGCTGCTCTTTAAACTGGAAAATACACCGAAACCGGTTTGGCTCAATGGATAGAGCGTCGGCTTGGGGACTGAAGGGACCCGGGTTCGATTCCGGTCAAGGGCATGTACCTTGGTTGCGGGCACATCCCCAGGAGGGGGTGTGCAAGAGGCAGCTGATCGATGACTCTCTCTCATCGATGTTTCTAGCTCTCTATCTCTCTCCCTTCCTCTCTGTACAAAATCAACAAAATATATATTTAAAAAAAAAAAAAAAAAAAAATATATATATATATATATATATATATATATATATATATATATTTAAAAAAATAAAATAAACTGGGAAATACAAGCTCCCGCTTGTTCTGAACTCCAATTTCAGCTAAGACTCTGGGGGACTCAGGCACATATGAGGTGAAACTGGACTGTCCGGCATCAGGACAGGAATACGAGGGCAGCTTACTCTTAAGGGTGCTCACAGAGATCATTGTTCCTGCCTAGGGGCACGGGACGCAGAGAACCTGGGACTTCTCCATGCAGGGCAGCCATTGCTGTTTGCTCCACCCTGGTGATTCCCAGAGACCCAGCCCCACACAACTCACAACCCCACCCACGCTGTGAGCATTGGCTTTTGCATATGAATGGCCTGTCCTTTTGCCTAAAACAAATTTCAGCTGTGTCAGAGATTCCAAAAGAAGGTCCAATAGATCTTGCTTCACAACTAGGTCTCCTCTGGGCACTTCCAAACACCATACAAAGAGGAGAAATCTACAGATGTCTCTGTAGCTCCTGCTGGGCAGCCCCAGACAGTGGCTGACCTTGCACCTCCTTGGAGACCCAAGAGCCAGTGTACCCAGTGGTGAGAGTGAGACCATACCAGATTACAACTGTTCACATCCATAAGAGACACACTCAAGGGGCAGACTCAGTGAGCACCAAAGCCCTATTATAGCAAGTCCTGCCCCATAAGGGTGTCTCCTATGCAACTGATCTTTCAGCGTAGACAATGCTGGTCATCACAGCCAATTGGCCTGGGGGTCAATTCCTCCCAGTGGTACCAAGAGTAATCAAGGGTTAACTACAACAAGACTGTGCACACAGCCCACAAAGGGGTGCACCAAGAGTGTTTACCTCGGGTGACTGGGGAGGCTGGGCCACCGGGCCCTATAGGACACCTACCACACAAGGCCACTCAATCAACTCAAGGAGACATAGCAGCTACCCAGTACATAGAAACAAACACAGGGAATGCCAAAGGCAAAAGACAAAGAGAGAATATTTAAAGCAGCAAGAGAAAAACAGTTAGTTACCTACAAGGGAGTACCCATTTGACTGTCAGCTGATTTCTCAACAGAAACTATGCAGGCCAGGTGGGAACAGTAAGAAATGATGATGAATAGCAAGTGATGAAGAGAAAGAACCTACAACCAAGATTACTCTACCCAGCAAAGCTATCAATCAGAATTGAAGGTCAGGTAAAGAGCTTCACAGATAAGAAAAAACTAAAGGAGTTCATCACCACCACATCAGTATTATATGAAAGCTGAAGGGTATTCTCTAAGAAGAGGAAAAAAAAGATAAAGATAAAAATTATGAACAACAAAGTGACAACAAATACATATCTATCAACAAGTGAATCTAAAAATCAAGTGAATAAAAAATCTGAAGAACAGAATAAATTGGTGAATATAATAGAATCAGGGGCATAAAAAGGGATTGGACTGACAATTCTTGGAGCGGGGAGGAAGTAAGGGGGGTAGGGTAAGAGATTGGACAAAAATATTACACCTATGGATGAGGACAATGGGAGGGGTAAGGACATGGGGTGGGGTGGGAACTGGGTGGAGGGGAGCTATTGGGGGGGAAAAAGAGGAACAACTGCAATAATCTGAACAATAAAGATTTATTTAAAAAACACAAGAATATGTAGATACATAAAAGTATCTTAATCAAATCATGTGAGCTATTAAATACTGATTGCATTATTAAACACAACCAATATAAAACTAATATTTACATAATTATGTAAATATTTGCCACAGTAATGAATAAACTTACCTGTAACTTTTCATTGTATTCAAGCAGGCAAAAGTCATTCTATAGGATTTGAACCACATGATCCTGTATTTACTAAAAACCCATGGTTTAATTTGTAGAGTACAACTGAGCTGATTCTCTAGATTGGAAAAAAAAAAAAAATTAAATGTTCAGAGAAAGCACAGTATGAATCCTTAATATACATGTACTTGAAGAAACTAAAAGGTTTCTTTAATTTTGGATTTTATTCTAAAATATAAAATAAAGGTCTTGCATTCCACCATCTAACTCTAATCAGACATTTCTGAAGTGGTAGTATGCATATGTAAAAGTTTTTTCACACAATTAGTTTGTGCATCCACATTACATTGCACAGAATTATAAAAAAATGATATTCAAATTAAAACTATATTACATTTTAAGAGGAGACATGAGGACATCTGTATTTGTGCCAACTTTTAAATAGGGTCAAAAACCTACATTACCTTTTATTTTTATTTTATTTATTTATTTTTTTAATATATTTTATTGATTTTTTACAGAGAGGAAGAGAGAGCGATAGAGAGTTAGAAACATCGATGAGAGAGAATCATCGATCAGCTGCCTCCTGCACACCCCCCACTGGGGACGTGCCCACAACCAAGGTACATGCCCCTGACCGGAATCAAACCCGGGACTCTTCAGTCTGCAGGCTGACGCTCTATCCACTGAGCCAAACTGGTTTCGGCTACATTACCTTTTAAATTAAGGTAATACTTATTCTGAGATTATATGTCAAAACTAATTCAAATTCTGTCACTTCCATGTTAGCTACAAAAAACAGACATATACATTTTGCTCAACATCCTTTACAGAAGATAAAACTGTGATATAAAAACATTTTAAAATAGCACTCATTGCCGAAAACAGTTTGGTTCAGTGGATAGAGCATTGGCCTGTGGACTCAAGGGCCCCAGGTTTGATTCCGGTCAAAGGCATGTACATTGGTTGTGGGCACATCCCCAGTAGGGTGTGTGCAGGAGGCAGCTGATTGATGTTTCTCTCTCACAGATGTTTCTGACGCTCTATCACTCTCCCTTACTCTCTGTAAAAAAATCAATAAAACGTATTTAAAAATAAATAAATAAATAAATAAATAAATAAATAAATAAATGGACTTATTTGAAACAACAACAACAAACATTCCACCCAAACAAAAATAAAATGTATACTCTTTCAAATATGTATGGGATATAAAAGAAATATTCACAACTTTAAGAGAAGTGAAAACAGATAAACTATGTTCTCTGACTGTACTGGACTCAAACTAGAAATAAATAACAGAAAGATAACATGAAAAGAACAAAAACACTTAGGAATTAAACAACACAATTTTAAACAATCCATGTTAAGACAAAGTCTCAGGGAAACAAAAGTGAAATAAATTAAAAGACACAATATATAAAAATCTATAGACATAGTTAAAGCAGTATTTAAAGGGAAACTTATAGCACTAAATATGAATATTAGAAAAAAGGAAAGGTCTCAAGTCAACAATCAAAATTACCACCTCAACAAACTAGAAAAAAGAAAGGAAAATAAACACAAAGCAAGCAGACAGAAGAAAATGATAAAAGTAGGTATTGATGCCCTAGCTGGTTTGGCTCAGTGGACAGAGCATTGGCCTGTGGACTGAAGGGTCCCGGGTTGGATTCTGGTATCAAGGGCACATGCTTGGGATTGTGGGCTTGATCCTCCGTAGGGGGTGTGCAAGAAGCAGCCAATCAATGATTCTCTCTCATCATTGATGTTTCCATCTTTCTGTCCCTTTCCTTTCCTCTCTGAAATCAATAAAAATGCATTTTTTAAAAAGGTACATACTGTATAATTCCACTTATATAACACTGTTGAAATGACAAAATTCTAGTAATAAAGAACAGATCAGGGATTGCCAAGGGTTAAGGTTGGGGTTAGGGTCTGACTGTAAAGGAGTGGTACCTCGAAATTTATTTGTGATTATGAAAGAGCTCTGTATCCTGATTATGGTAGTTGATACACAAATTTCTACATGTGGTTACACACAACCCCTCTTCCCCCCCCACACACACACACAAATGTAAATGTGGCAAAATCCAAATTAGTTTTGTATTTTAGTTAATTGTTTTATATTAATGTCAATTGTCATTTTAACCTAACAATGTATTATAGTTAGATTAAGATGTTATCACTAAGAAATTGGTATAAGGCATATGGAAATTCTACTATCTTTGCAACTTCTTGTCTTAAATTATTTCAAAATAAAAATTTTATTGATTGATTTTAGAGAGAGAGAGGGGAAGAGGGAGAGAGAAATGCTGGGGAGAAAGAGAGGAAGGAAGAAATCCATTTGCTGTTCCACAAATTTATGCATTCATTGGTTGAGTGTTGGTTGGTTGGTTGGTTGGTTTTTTAGTAATCCTTACCTGAGGATATTTTTCCATTGACTTTTAGAAAGAATGGAAAGGAGGGGGTTGGGGAAGGAAAGAAACATCTATGTGAGAGAGACACATTGGTTGCCTCCTGCACATGCCCAACTGGCACTAGGCAACAAGCCTGCAAACCAGATATGTGCCCTTGACCAGTAATCAAACCCATGATCTTTGGATGCAGGTGGATGCTCTAACCACTGAGAAACAAGGTTCAGGGCCCATTGGTTGATTCTTGTATGTGTCCTGACAGGGGATTAAGCCCACAATCTTGGTGTGTAGGGATGATGTTCTAATCTGGCTGGGGCCAAGGTCAAAATAAAAAGTTTTAAATTAAAAGTACAAAGAGGTGCCCTAGCTGGTTTGGCTCAGTGGATAGAGTGTTGGCCTGCAGACTGAAGGGTCCTGGTTAAAGGCCACATGCCCAGTTTACAGGCTCGATTCCCCAGTAAAGGGTGTGCAGACAGCAGCCAATCAATAATTCTTTCTCATCATTGATGTTTCTATATCTCTCTCCCTCTCCCTTCCTCTCTGAAATAAAAGTATATATTTAAAAGAAGTACAAAGACTCACTACAAAGCATCCTTCTTATCCCCTGACTCCAGTTATCCAGTCTCGATCTCTGGAAGCAACCTGTTACTAATTTGTATGTAGGCTTCCAGCGATATTTTACATATATATAATTTTTATCAATTTCTCTATTTTAATACAAAATATAAAACAGTACACACATTCTTCTACACCTTACTTCTTTTAACCTAACAATGTATTTTAGGAGGTTTTTTTCATAACAAAGAACATCCTTTTTGTAGGGCTGCATGGTAACCCATTATATGGGTGTCTCATAATTTATTTGCACAGTCCCCTATTAATGGACATCTGTTTAGGTTATTTTTAATTTCTTGCTATTCCAAAAACATAAGGCTGAATTACATAAGTAATTTCATATATGTATGCATGCTTGAGAGTACCCAGGAATCGTGTCAAGTGGCATGGGCACTTACTCATTAGTAATTGCCACTGACAGATGTTTAAACCCAGGTGAGAATTTCTAATGTTGGTTTCCCCGGTGATAACACATTGATAGTTCCCATGCACGGTATTATCAAATCTTTTTATCTTTGCTAATCTAATAGATGAAAATGGTGTCTCCAAGTAGTGCTAATTTATCATAAGTTTATGTCTTAAGTATAATGGTGTGATGGTCTGAATGTTTGTGTCTTTACCCCCCTCCCCCGCCCCCAAATTCATATTGTAACCCCCAAGGTGATGGCATTTGATGGGGCCTTTGCAAGATTAGCTCATGAGGGTGGGGCCCTCATAATTGGTTTGGTGGCCTTATAAAAGAGATCCAAGAGGACAGAGCAAAGAGGCTCCATCTCTGAACCAGGAAGTGGGCTCTCACCAGACACAAAATCTTAGATTTCCTAGTCTTCAGAACTATTAAAAAAAAAATCTATAATTGCTAAGTCAGCCAGCCTGTGGTATTTTATTACAGCATTTCTAAGACAAATGGTTGTTATTTGTATTTCATGTCTTGTCTTTATCTGCACTACCTACCTACCTGACCACCTTTTAAGACCCAGTTCAAACACAACCTCCTTTATGACTTTATGTAGATAAAAGAGATATTAGATAATTATGTAAACTGTAACACATAGGTGAAGAATAAGGTATTATCATGAAACTGAGCCTTAGAGCCTTCCTGCTCTCTACTCAGTCATCACCCCTATCTCTTTCTCACCTCCCCTCTTACCTCATATCTGGCAAATTAGTTCCTCAGTCATTAGTATTGCCAGAATTCTCAAGGGCTTTAAAAAAAAACACCTCATCATAATTGAGAGAAACAATTCAGTTTGTATTAATAAGTAGGATGTTACCGTGTTTACCCGAAAATAAGACATCCTTCGAAAATAAGACCTTAGCGCATGGAAAGATAAGACATCCCCTGAAAATAAGACCTAGCGCAACTTTGGGAGAAAAAATTAATATAAGACATGTCTTATTTTTGGGAAAACAGGGTACCAATTCTTTCTCTACCAGAATCTGTGATTATTCTTGTAATTGAGATTTTAAAGTAATGGAGGGAAATTTCATTTACTTCAAAAGTCATTTATCCAGCGCCTATAAGGTATTGATAGTGAACAAAACCCAGACTGCCAATATGCTAGGCCAGCAATCATCATTTATTATCTGGACTACTCTAAGGCCTCATGGAGCCTAGTCTTGCTTGTCTCTGTGCCATTACAACTGCCAAGGGTTAGTTCTCAATTTTTTAAAAAATATATATATTTTATTGATTCCAAAGAGGAAGAGAAAGGGAGAGACAGAAACATCAATAAGGGGAGAGAATCATCAGCTGGCTGCCTCCTGCACAGTCCCCACTGGGGATCAAGCCTGCAACCCAGGCATGTGCCCTGAATGTGCCCGATGTGTGACCTTCTGGTTCATAAGTCAACACTCAACCACTGAGCCACACCAGCTAGGCCAAGTGTTATTTCTTAAAAACAAGCCTGATTATGTTGCTTCTTTCTGTCATTTCCCACTGTCCTCAAAATACTCAACCAAGGAGGTACACCTGGCCTTTCAGGACTTGTCATGGAATAAAAAGTCTCCTCTCTCATCCCTTATCACTCTCTGCCCATTTGCAGTCCTCCATCTACACTACTTTTCAAGGAACACTTGGCCATTTCCCAGAAACCTTCTCACAGATATTCAAGCTGGTGCCTTTGGCCACTCTACCTGCTTCTAAAACTGGCCAACTCCTTCAAGACAACTCCCTACACACCTGTTTAAGAGGATTACCTGATCCCAAATATGTATTAGGTGCTCCTTCTATGTTCACTCCCAATATTCGGAAATAGTTATATTGTATTTTTTCTAAATTTCTGGTTATAAAAAATATTTTTACTGGGAGAAAAAAAAAAAACAAAAAACCTCCAAAAAGTATATGATTAAATGACAGGTCGCTAAGTCCACCAGATAGTCACTATTAACATTTTTATGTATCTCTATTCTCTATCTCCATCTACATAGCTCTAAGTTCATAATACACACTGATTTATAACACTTTAATACTATATCCTAATAACTTTGCCAGGTGGATACACATTGATTTAAATCACTCCTTTTTATTTTTTAATCCTCACCCAAAAATATGGTTTTACTAGAGGCTTGGTGCACAAAATTCGTGCACTGGAGGCAGGGGCGGGGGTGGAGAATGGGGGTCCCTCAGCCCAGCCTGCACCTTCTCACAGTCTGGGACCCCTGGTTCCTTACCACCAACCTGCAGTAGAGGCGGGAGACTCCCGCCACCACTGCTACACTCGCCAGCCAAGATCCGACTGCACTCAACAGCCATGAGCCCCTGGTGACCAGCTTCTAGCTGAGCGGTGCTCCCACTGACCACCAGGGGGCAGCTCCTGTGTTGAGCTTCTGGCCTTGATGGTCAGTGCACATCAGAGCCACAGGACAAACCGATGGGTCAGTTTGCATATTAGGGTTTTATTATATAGCATTGATTGGAGAGAGGAAGGGCGCGGGCAAGAGAGAGAAATAGGGAGAGAGCTCCATTGGTTGCTTCCAATAGATGCCCCCACCAGGGATTGAGCCCAAAATCTAGGTATGTGCCCTGACCAGGAATCCAACCTGCAATCCTTTTGGGGTATGGGACTACACTTCAACCAAGCCACCCCGCCAGGGCTCAATCACCCTTTTAGTTGGCTAGACTAGTTTTCACTGTATGAGAGGACCAACGTTAACTCTATCGGTGGGCCTTTAAGTTTCCTTTTTTTGGTCATTATATCCTAATCTTAGTTGTATCCTAACATTTTTAGAGCCCCTTGAGCTATCATTCATTTTAAAATCCCCAGTGCCTGGCATACAGTATTTATTAAATGAGCTTCATTAAAGAATGAACTTAGCTTTCTGGTTAACATTGGGAGCAAATAATCTGTTTTCTACAAACATCAAGTGCGGTGCCTCATTTTCTTAATCTCTGCCAGTAGTCTGTTGAATTAACCTAATAATCAAAAAGTGGTACAGCTGCCTTAAATTATTCCTGAAGGGTGTAAGGTAAGTGCAAACAGGACACCATACAACGTTAGTGGGTTCGAATCCCTGAGACGGAGCTGGCGGCCCTTCCCGCGGGGGAGGGGACGCTCACGCCGACCTTGGGCTCCGCGCAGGGCGGCCGGCTCCTCAGGAGCTCACACAACCGGCGGAGGCCAAAGCCGCCGGTCCGCGGAGGCCGCGGCTGCGCTGCCCCGGCAGGACGAGGCCTCGCTATCCCCCCGGCCTCCGGGAGGGAGGGCGGCAGCCGGGCCGGCCCCCCGCGAACAGCGGGGCCGGGCGGCAGGAGAGGGTCTCCCCGAGCCGCGCGGCCCAGCGCCGGCCGGCCGCGCCCCCGCGCCTGCGCACAACAGCGGGTCCGCGCGGTGGGCGAATGCTGGGGGGACCTCGGCACCTACTCACCCGCTGACGGGGCTAAGCGAGAAGAGGGGGCCTGTGCACCCCGGCACCTGGACTTAAACACTCCGAAAGAACGGCTCCCGCTGGAGCTCAGCTTGCGGACTACCCACATCGCCGGAGGTTCCACGTCTTTCCCGGTCCCTCCGGTACAAGATCCCCAACAGAAAGGTTCCGAGATCCACTCTCGCGCAGCCAGGAGTCCATCTAATCACGGTTGCACTTAGTGGATGTTTTATATAGCTATATTCACCCTCAACGGGTCAAATTGTGTATGCCATTAAACTATAGAATGTTCCTATTATCATAAACGAACTTAAAGACCTTTCTATTATGCCTGTCCCTATATGACATCATAGCCAAAGTAGCCATCCATCATGTTACTACTTCCTGCTGCGTCCTAACTTTTCTTTTATTCCCTAGTAGCTCTACTTCATGTTTAACAGATGTCTCCTAGAGGATTTTTATACCCATTAGACATCTTAGAATCATGAAAGCATGGGAACACTTCTCTAAAGAAATAATTGTCAATTCAATATCAGAGGGCCTCAAGTCTAAATTGAGTATTTCCTACAAGTGACCTGGTAATATTCTAGACAAGGGCATACATTATATAGCAGGAGACAGTTAATTACCCAGGCTAGGCAAACTTCATTTAGAGCAAGAATGGTGATTTGTAACATTATACCTCTAATTACATAAAAGCCTTTCCTTGGGTAAGAAAAATAAATTTCCAGCATTAAAGGTAAAAAACAAACAAAACATCATTGTACATTTTCAAAGGGCTTTTTGAACTAGTGGAATTTACATAACTCAGTTATGGCCTTTCACTTATGGCTTCTTAGTAAAATATAGACCTCATTCTAAGAGTGGTTATGGACCTCAGCCATCTCTTCACAACTCCTCTCTCAAGATGGCAGAAAGCTCTGCATAAAAGATCCTTTAGCATGTGTTATTTGCTGGAGTAATAGACCCAAGGAAAAAAAAAAAAGCAAAGTGCATGCTTAAGTTCTGAGTTTTATTTAAATGTACTTGCTTTTAATAACCACCCGAGTTTCAGAACCTTCCCATATTTTCAGTTCAACAAAAGCAATCAGTAATTTGTCAATCAAAAGCTTATTGAATACTCGCTAGTTTGACTTAGATAAGCAAAACTAGCTCATGTGGTTTTTCTCTACAAATGCAAAAGGCTTTCCCAGACACCTAAACCCGAGTTATTCTGAAAGGATTTGCAGTCGTTATATGGTACACAGCGATTGTTGGAGCTATGGTATCGCCCATAAACGTGTTGTCAACTAGTCTACAATTTACTATAAAACTAAAAATCCTTAATACATTTGAAATTCAATTTTATATAAACTTTTCATTCATGTTAAGGGTAATGTGCTCCCTTTACAGCTAAGTTTTATCCCTTTAAAATTATATATTCCTTTAAAATGATATTTACCAGTTTAACTGGTAAATTTTAACATTTATAAAACTTCACCTAAATTGGTTAACTAGAATAATTTTTACTTACCATAATCAGAATGTGGCTGATTTAACCTGTGCGTTTAGAGAACTCTATACCTGGTAAACCTTTATGGTATAAATGTAACTCAGAGCCGAAGCCGGTTTGGCTCAGTGGTAGAGCATCGGTCTGCGGACTGAAAGGTCCCAGGTTCGATTCCGGTCAAGGGCATGTACATTGGTTGCGGGCACATCTCCAGTAGGGGGTGTGCAAGAGGCAGCTGGCCGATGTTTCTCATCAACGTTTCTAGCTATCTCTCTCTCTTCCTCTCTGTTAAAAATCAATAAAATATATATTTTTAAACAATAAAAAAATAAATAAATGTAACTCAGACATGCCATGTTAGCCCTGGCTGTGTATTTCAGTGGATAGAGCTCCAGCCTACATATGGGTCTGAGAAGGGTCTTGAGGCATGCCCCTGGTCAAAAGCATGTACCTTGGTTGTGGGATCAATCACAGGTGGGCCCGATCAGACAAGCAATCGATGTTGATTTTTCTCTCTCTGTCCTTCTGTTTTCCCCCTCCCTCCCACTCGTCTGAAAATCAACGGGAAAAGTATCCTTCGGTGAGGATTTAAAAAAATTAAAAATAAAACTGATACAAACCTGCATAATACAGCAGGAGTTACTTTAGGACTAATAAAAAGCCCATTTTTTTTTTTCATTTTGGTTTAGACTTTGCAACCAAATTCTACTTAATATTGAAGAACTTAAGGGCTTTAAGTGTTAAAGATCTTGTAAATAATCTAATTCCACTCTTACATAGTTGAAGAAATTAAAGCCCTTATTAAGTGATTTGCTAAAAATACATCAAGTATTAGAGCTAGGATAATCCAATATATTGCTATTTCCATTAAACCATGTTTAGTAGACCATTTTAGAAACTTTGGTAAATTAAAATAGATTTTAATATATGTAACAGAAGAAAAACTCAGTTTAAATGAAAAAATTTCCAGAAGACATTATAGGAACTTTAGATTTTACATAATTCCTATGTAAAAAGAAACTATATTTGTGAAATTCATCTATTGTATAATAGAAAGATGCTAAAAGACATTTTATAATGGCAGAAAAGATGCACTGAGATTCCACACCAATTTTTATTTATATTTTGGGGCCTAAAACAAATCTTATCGTTACTTCTTCCAAATTACATTTTATGCTCTTAATGGTGTGGTTCACCCCCATTCCACAATAACAAATATGATGAATACACTAGAAATGTGTTTGTTTTTTTTAATTCTTATGACAGTTTTTATTAACTAATCCAGACCAATGATTGTCTCAAAAGCTGTATCTATTAATTTTCTGGTGGTGTTATTTTGAAGATTTCATAATTAAATTATACATTTAATGAACTTATGTGTAAGTTTTAGCATTCACATCCCAAATCATGGAAGACCTATTTTATAAAATCTTACCATTTAAAGAAAACATACTTCATTACATGTCAATGAAATGATGAATTCTCTAAATTATCCATAAAAAAAACCCAAATATCTATAACACTAATGTGTCTACTAATAATCACACACATTATGACTGTGTTTTTAAAAATAGCTACAGATTTAATAAGAGGCTTGCATATTATGGCAGAGTAAATAAAGCTTTCAAATACTGCTTTTAGCTCTAGTTCATATCTTGCCCAAAAATGTGCATATCATAGCCAGCAGAACTTTTCCGTAGAATTTTATTTTGAAAATATTATTTCACTTGAAGATTGATCTAAAAAACATTTTAAGATATGAAAATGTTATACAACTTATCTATTACAAATTAATTGAGTAATTCTACAATTAGGTATACCATGTTAGCTCACCTACATAAAAAATATTGCACACTTTCCTTTATTTTGTCTCCAGATGTGACTGATGTCTAAACTATATAGAATTCTAAACTATTTAAAAGTTATCATGTGAAATGTCAACTTTATAAATATCAGAACTGAATGCACTGTAAAACAACCATTTTGGTAAACATGCATTTATTCACAGTTGATTTATTTCCTCTAGATAAACGCATAACTGCTCAAAATTATTTAAGAACTATGTAGAGGTACAAGAGCACACTATACAAATCTATTTCTATCTTTGTTTTGAGGAAATACTGATCTTGGCAAAATTCTGGCTTATTTTAAAATTAACTATTGCTGGTAAAAAGGCATACTTTAAAACATTTCTGTGACCTGCACCTGCTCTTTTTAAATTAAAATTTAAAAGCATTTGTTTTTAGAGACTTCTCTGATTTTTGTGGCATAAGTGAATAATCACATAAAAATGAACCCTGAAAGCAGCTGAGCATTAAAATACCTATAGAGCCTTCATTTTACTCATAAGTTATAACTGCCTTAAATTTCTAGACCACTCACTGAGCCTAATTTTAAGAAACAAAACAAAACCATTTTAAATTATGAGACTGACACAGCCTGCATAATATAACGTTTCTCCACAGAGCTAGTCATATACTTTAAAAAATATAAATATATTGAATTGTGAGTTTTATTTCTGTAATAACCTCAAAGTGTTTCAAATACACTTCTAAAACAGAAGTGGGTAACTGCAGAATATAGTTCCAGACTTGACTAATAGAGTCAAACATAATCATTCCTTATAATAACCCTAATAGGTACACTGGCTTGATTGAATCCAGCAATTTCATTTTACAGGAGTGAACCATACTTTATACACAAAGAGAATATATTACTTGAAAATCCCTAAAAAGGAAAAGTTTAGAAAGCTGTCTAATGATTCCAAATAAAAAGTAAATGTCTATTTCTGGCCCTCTTCCACACCCTTAAAGTTGGAATTTGACAAAAAATCCATGGGTACAAATTTACAAACTTTGACAGACTATTGAGATAAAACCATTTTCTTTGGGGATATGGAAGGAAGTACCTTTAAAACTTGTTATACAAAGTTCCAGCTGCCTTTTTATAAAAGTACGTTCCTTAGATTAAAATCATAAAATTAAGGTGCAAGAGGTTAACAAAAATGAACTAAAGAGCTTTATTGACATCACAGTACATTCAAGAATAATTTTAAGAATATTACAGCTGAAAGAGAATGGCATGTTTATAGTCTTATTGTGCACTATTTTTTGAAAAAAAAAAAAAAGTAATACAAAGAAATCCTATTAACGGAGCAGCATTTGGAAAAAGTATACCTATTTACAGATTAAAAAAAAAAATTCTGGTTTCACCTACACAGCCACAATGTGCCTCTATAATGAGACAAGCCCTTAAAACTCATGGAATTTTTTAAACATCATGGCATTCTTGCCACATCATTCCTCAGCGTTTGCGACGAAGAGGGGTTGTTGATCTGGAAAAAAAAAAAAAAAGGGAAAGACAAAATTTAAAAATAAAAATGTATTTTAAACTAAAGAATCTAATTTTTAAATAACTAATATTATATTTCTAAAATTATTTAAGACTATGATCATTTATCAAGTACCAATCTGAGTTTATTAAAGAGAGAGAGAAAGGACACTTTCAACTTTGAATAAATTCAGTCAAATTTTTAAAAAAAAATCAGACAAAATACTTTAAAAAGTATACTACCTTGATCGGGACTTAGACTTGTGTTTGCGGCTTGCCTTCTTACCAGACCTTTGAGATTTCTCCATGGATCGCGATCGACTATGTTTAGGCTTCTTAGCCTTCTTTTCTTTGCTACTTCCTGGAGATTCAGAACTGCTCCTTCCACTAGAATCAGAGCCTGAATGTTTTTTACTATCTTTGGTAGTACTTTTCTTACTATCCTGTCTAGAATCATGTCTGATGATTTTAACAGATATAGAACCACTCCTAGAGAATGTTCTTTCACTTTCTCGTTTCCTTTTTAACCTATCATCCTGACCACTGAACTTAAAATCTTTTTCTTCCCTTTTTTGTTTCTCTTTTCTTTTATCCTGTTCACGCTCTCTTTCTTTGTCTTTCTTTTTCCTATCTTTATCTATACTTCGACTTCTCTCTTTTTTCCTCTCTTGTTCTTTAGCCTCACCTTTATGTTTATGACTGCTCCCACTAAGATTTCCACGTTGGTCATCAATTTTACGTCTATCTCGACTCCTACTGCGACTGGACCGATTGGTTCGCCTATCCCTTGAGCGACTTCTACTTCTACGTCTCTCTCGGGAAGGACTCCGATTTCTTCGTCTTTCTCTTTCAATGCTATTTCTATTAGATCTTCTCCTATCTCTAATCTTTACCCTAGCCCTATTGCTGTCTATTTTAATTCTGCGAGAGTAACTTCTACTCCTACTACGTCTAGCTTTAGCTGTTGGAGACCTACTCCTACTATGTCTCTTTTTCCTTTTAGGAGAAGAAGATCGAGAAGATGTGCGACTACTACCTGAGCTAGAACTGTATGAAGAACTAGAGACAGTACTACTAGTACTACTAGTTCTGCTATTGCTACTAGAACTACCACTACTAGAACTTTCTGATCTGCTCCTTCCTTGTTTCTCTTTTTCTTTATGATCTTTTTTTGGTTCTAAAACTGATGTAGTTTCATTTGGAGTTCTTTTCTTTTCATTAACCACATCACCGTCTGTTTCTCTTGCTTCTAGTAATGATAAACTATTTTGCTCTTTGTGTATAAATTCATTCATCTCTTTTGTAACCCTTTCAGCTTGTTGCTTTTCTTCTGAAATAGAAAAAAGACAAAATATTAAGTCAAATGTACAATGAAAAACTCCCATGTTAACAGAATATAACAATAGAGCAAGCCATAGAAGCAAATTCAAATGTTCTAGTACTACATTAAAAAAGTAAAAATAAAGTTAAAATTTTATTTTATAAACCCAATACCATAAAAAATATTATTTTGACATGTAATCAATTAAAATAAATATGGAAATATTTTTTTTTCATGAAAAGTCTTTGTAACTTAGTGTACATTTAATACCTACAGCACATCTCAACTTAGGTTAGTTAACCTCCTAAACAGTATAGCCACAGAGCACCAAGGTACAGAGGCACATATGAAGCAAGAAAAAAATTTCCCTTTTGTCCAATAAAGGTGTTAAGGTAATAAGTCATTGACATGGAATTTTTGGCTGCAAACACTTAACGATTACCTTTCAAATTGTCCAAATAAGAATATTCCAAAAATAAATTCTCTATTATCCCTAGTATCATTATGTAAACTATTAATAATGATACTCATTACAGTAATTTATATAAAACTTTTAAAAGTCCTCTATTATCTTTAACTATCCTACTTATAAATTATTTTTTAATAGTTTTACAAATATATTACCTCCATTTCAAAACTTTTTTTAAAGAATTTTAACAAGAAATAAAAATACACTGAAATAGCTTAACTTATAATAAGCTCATGATAAAAGTTCACCTTTCCTAATATTTTCAATACTACAATTAACTTTGAGTTTACATTTGATAAAAATTACAAATAAGCCAAAATCCTTTTTTTCAGTTACAACTCATTTATTATTTATAATGTAGCCTCAATTCCATTCTTTGGTACTTTAAGTTGTTTGAAAAATGTAAAGAAACACAAACAAAACTGAACAAAATTAGGTGAATGTAAAAGTTGTACCTTCCATCTGTCTATCATGTAATAGCTGCTGCTCTTTTTCTTTTCTCCAAAAAGCTTCCTGTTTTTGCCGGATTCGATGCCGTAATTCCTCGTCGTCAGTGTCAGATGACTCAGAGCCTCTGTCACTCCTTTCATCTTCACTGTCTCCTGATCCATAACCTCCCAGTCCACCTGTGTGCATAAAGCCCAGTCCATCATATGGAAAAATTATTCTGTGCACTAAAAACGTTTTAAGGTCCAAGAAGAAAGCTCATTTCTTTTTAACATTGCATTTTGTTGGAAGAATCTACTTATTCGGGGTGGGGAGAAGTATAAAATTCAATGCTTAAGAAGTTCATAAGAGCCCTCATGAAAATTGATACTTAGTATCTTACTCTTTCTGGAATATTTCATATATTTGTCACCATAAATGAATCGTGATAATGGTTTTGTTTTTACTGTCCATGCTAACCAATAAAACCATTTAATAGGGTAGTAACAAAGTCTCACTAAAGCATAATCAATTCAACTACCTTAAATTTTATGATGATCCTAAAAATAATTCTACAATTAACTTTTTCATTGTTCAAAGCTTAGAAATCCCCAGGTAGTATGCTAAGTATTTTTCCCCTTAAAAAAATTAGAATACTGTAATTCTGACTGTACAGAAATGGTATGATGCTAAAACTACTCCCCACCCTGAAGTGATCTCAATAGTAATAACAAAATCACATGGGCATTTGGTTCTAGCCATTTTTGTTGATCCTCAAAAAGATTAATTTTTGAAATAATGTGGAAAAGGCAAATTCAAGCTTTTATATACTTGATAATATAGCATGCAAATAGAAAACTATGAACACATCACTATTATGGTAATATAAGCTAAACCCTTTCCTCTAAAGTAAACCTAACTTGCTGCAACACAACCTAAATAAAGGTCTTTAAAAACATTAGTGGATAGGTTCCTCTCTAAGGCAACAATTTTGAAAGAGAGTTTAAATACTAGCATGGCTAAATTATAACTATTACAACTTGCCTCGCCTCATTAACTGTGAATTAGTCACCACATTTACAATAATTCCACTGTGAATGCTTTAGTAAAAAAAAAAAAAAAGGCAAACCTTTTAGAGACTGATATAACCCTAAGATCTCAGGTTTTATAAACTGAGTAGGAACAGTAGTTTCAAATAGAACATGTAGAGAGACAAGGTAAGTGTGATTTTTCCCTTTAAGGCCCTCTTACAAATAAGGACACTTACCGAGTCCAGTGAGGGAAGCCAGTGCACTGGACTGTGCCAGCTGTTTTGCAGGAGCTTTGTATCACATCAACAACAGGAACAACATGTTAACACAAATAGCCACGATTTCATAGTCATGAGAGTCTATGGTATTGTTAAATCTACTACTATTGCTGCTTCTTGGGGAGAGAAGAAACATTAAAAACATAACATTCATTTTAAACCAGTAGCAAGTCTGGCCTTGAAAGTATAATTCTGATGTGAATTGAAATTTATTTGTAATGAGGAAAAATGTTGACAACATAATGGTATTTTTATTTTTGAGATATGGCCCATAATTTAAATTTGCTTTCAGTCTATATTTTTTTTTAAGTGCTACTAAATATATGGGGGCTAAGTGGGAAAATCACTAACTAGCTCTGTAAGAATTATAGGAGGTAAACTGTGAAAACTCTGAAGGTTCATAATTCAATTCATTAGTAAAACTAAACTGCATTAGAAATTATACGCCAATACCATGGTATCTATAAAAAAAAAATCAGGTGAAATAAATTGAACATCATCAAGAATTTTCCAAAATACATTTTATAGAACAACAGTGTAATTATGAATTTGTGCTCAGAGAGTTGGACAAAACAAAAATATCTGTATAGTTGTAATATGGTGTCTATAAATCTGAACCTTCCAAAAGAGTAAAACATGCAAGAAGAGAATATTTCAATATCTGCTACTATTTCAACAAGGACAACAAAAAAAGTCCAAAAGAGCCACCAAAACCATAGCACCCCTAGATAAACAAAGCCAAAACACCCACAATATACCTTTTGTTGCTTTCCGGTGTGCATCTTTGGCTACATAATAAATTTCTTCATCTGTGACATCCAGTAGAATTTCAGTCAAAAGCATTTTTGTCAATAACATCTAAGGAATATATAATGTTTCTAATTAAATTATTATAGTTACTAATAATACAGTCTGACATTTTATTTATTTTTTTAAAAATACATTTTTTTAATTGATTTTACAGAGAGGAATTGAGAGGGATAGAGAGTTAGAAACGTCAATGAGAGAGAAACATTGACCAGCTGCCTCTTGTACAACCCCTACTGGGGATGTGCTCGCAACCAAGGTATGTGCCCTTGACCAGAATTGAACCCAGGACCCTTCAGTCCACAGGCAGGCGCTCTATCCATTGAGCCAAACCGATTTCGGCAGTCTAGCATTTTAAAAAAATTAAAAGGCAAAGCTTTAGGGGGTAGGGGGCAATGGGAGGATAAGGACACATATGTAAAACCTTAATAAAGAAAAAAAAAAACACAAAAAACTAGCCTGTAGGCCCCGGAGCAGCGGCTGCCAGGCTGGGAGCGGCCAGGCCCGGAGCAGCAGCAGCCAAGTCTAGACCAACTAGGACGGGAGCGGCAGTGACCAGACCCGGAGCAGCTGGTTGTGGAATGAACCAGAGCAACAGAGGCCAGGCCCTGAGCAGCCAGGCCCGGAACAGCTCGCTCCTCGCCTGCCCCTGCCCCACGGCTGCCTCTCAGACATGGCTGGAAACTTTCGTGGGAACTTGAGGGTCTGCTGAATCAAGTGATGAAGGCTTAGATTTGGATGTGTGGAGTTAGTATAGGGCTGGGGTGTTGATCTGTGAGTGCCTTGGGTGGGGCCTGGATGAGGCTGGTGGACCTATTGGGAAATGTCTTTTGTGTGAAGTGTATCATTGGGCATGTGGAGGTATTATTGATTTGAGAAAATGCTAAGTAACTGATTTACTATCTGAAAAGGGATTTACTATTGGGGAAAGGGAGGGAAGAAGAGACTGAACATAAACTGCACCTATGGATGAGGACAATGGGGGATGGGGAGGGGGCGGAGGGTGGGGTGGGAACCTGGTGGAGGGGGGAAGAAATGAGGAATCTGTGTAATAATATGAACAATAAAGATTGATAAAAAAAAAAATACATGAATAAATAAGGTTTCCCCTCACAAAACAAACAAACAGAAAAAAAAAACTAGCCTGTACTAGTGAAAAAAAAAAAAGGCAAAGCTTTATTTTATAAAGCATTTCAGATCAGTCATTCCAACAAGCAGAATATCGTGAAAATAAATTTAAATTACAAGAATTTTAACAAATTTCAAAATCATATGGATTAATAAATAAATGAGTTTATTTCTATAGAGACACTAAATTATAACTCTAGGAACAAAACATTAAAAAAATTCCTATTAATAAAAATTTCCATTGGTGTTTTAAGTGGATAGACATACCCTTTCATTTAATACTATTAGTAAGCAACACAACACTAGCTTCTTAAGTCACTTAGGAACTTAACCCTCAAGGTAAAATTTGAGGAGAAAATAAGGAAAAGGCAGTTATTTCATTTTGTCAAATGAAGTTCTCTTTTTCTTGAGTGCTGCAATATAGGGTACAATAGACTGAAACAGAGCTGGATTCTAACAATGGTTTGGCTATCAACAGCTCCTTCAAATGTAGACTATTTGTTCCTTTGCCTCTCTGGGCTCCAGATCATATTACTAATCTCTTGAAATCAGAGTGCAGTGAATCCGAATCTTCTAAACACATTCCAAAGATTACAGGTCTTTCAATATGAAAAACACAGCAGTTTAATATTCCTAATCTCAGAAAAGGAATAAACAGATATTAAAAGCTTTGAGAGAATTCTTACAATGAAGAAATACATTTACCTGTGTTCCCACCCCAGTGCTTCGTAAACTTATTCTATGAAGTCTTTTAATTTTTCCCATTATTCGAAAAACACACTTTAGCCCAGCCAGCATTACTCAATGGTTGAGCCTTGACCTGTGAACCAGAAGGTCACAGCTCCATTCCCAGCCAGGGCATATGCCCAGGTTGCAGGCTTGATCCCCAATGGAGGGTATGCAGGAGGCAGCCAATTAATATCATAATATCTCTCTCCCTCCCTCCCTCCCTCCCTTTCTAAAATCAATAAAAATATACATATATTAAAATATACATATTGTCCCTTATAGTAAAACATTATTTAATTACAACATTGTTATATGGAAATGTGCTTAGGAATTGCTTTAAAGTTGTGATTTCGTTTTAGATGTTATTGGATATTGCAGACATTATCGCCTAGGAAATATATATATCAATACATATTTCATACTTGTTTCATGAGTTCTTAGTATATATAAATGCTTAAGATACCAACCAATAGTTTTTAAAAATTATACCAGGTATAGCAGTTAATAATGTGGATTTTGTAATCCAAGAAAACATGATAATTTCAAGAGAAACTTCACAAGTGCTTTATTCAAAGTAATGTTCATCACTAACTACACATTTTCCCATCTTTCAGGTAATTTGTGGATACCATCCCAATAGAACTTTTGTTTTGAGGCAAATCATTCAGAGACCCAATTTTCCATTTCTTTGTGGTTTTGAAGTGCTGCTCAAAAAGTGCATGTACCATCAATTGGAACAAGTGGTGATCTGAAGGAGAAAGTTCTGGTGAATACAGCGGGTGAGTTAATACTTTCCAGGCAAGATCTTTTAACGTGTCTTTAACTGGTTTTGAAGTGTGTGATGGTGCATCATCATGAAGCAAAATTACTTTGCCATGTCTTCTGGCACATACTGGATGTTTCATGAACGAAGTGTGGTTCAAATTGATTACTTGTTGTTGGGAGTGATCAGTAGTAAACGTTAATACTGATCTCTACAGATAACAAATAATCAATTTGAACCACATAATATACCACACCTTTTTGATCCCACCAAACGCAGAGCACTGTCTTCTTTCCGAAGCGATTTCGCCTTGCAGTCGATGTTGATGGATTGACCTGGATCAATCCATGATTTTGTGAATTTGGGATTCTCAGAATAAATCCACTTTTCATCACCAATCACAATTTGATGCAAAAAAGACTTTCTTTCCTGCTATTGAAAGCAATATTTTACTGATGACTACAGTTTTCCATTTGTCTTTCATTCAGCTGATATGGCACCCATTTTCCTTCCTTTAAAATCTTTCCCATTGCTTGCAAATGATCGGAAATTGTTTGCTGAGCATTTAATCTTTCTGTAAGTTGTTTTTGAGTTTGACGTGCATCTTCATCCAATAATGCTTGTAATTGTTGGTCTTCAAATTTTTTCAGTTGACCTGGGCAATCTTTGTCTTTCACATCAAAATCATCACTTTTAAAGTGTTTAAGCCAGCGTTCACAAGTATCTTGAGATGGAGCATGTTCACCATATGCTTCTCGAAGTATAACCTTTTCTCCAAAATAAAGCAATGAACTAAAACTTCCCTAAAATGCTCTTTTTTTTGGCACGAAATTTGACACTTTTAAGCATAAAAATATATATGATGTTAACACCTTCAGCAAATTTGACATGAAGTTTTGAAGCTTGCTGTCAATACAACAAAATAGCATACATATCAAATCGTATATATATCAACATATGTGTAACTTCATCTATTGAAAAAAATCCAATTAACCGGTACACCTGGTAAACAAAATAAATCCTAGAATATGTTCACATCAATTATACATCAAAACAATTTTAATAAAATAAATTTACATTTTTTACCATTTGATACTCTTTCTCTTCTTCAGTCATCTCTGGTTCACTTTGCTCTTCTTGAGGAACTGGAGATGGACTTCTGGTGACTTTTCCACTGCTTGCAGCCTCAACATTTTCAGTATCTTCATCTTCCTCATCACTATCCTAAAAAAAGTAATACTATGGGTAGCCCAAATTCATGCTTATAATCAATCATTATCTTGAACATTCTATTTTAAAACCCTAAGTTAAAAAGTGTATGAGACAGCCCTGGCCAGTTTTCTCGATGGTTAGAGCATCTGTCTCTTGACCAAAGGGTCTCAGGTTCTATTCCCAGTCAAGGGCATGTACCTCATTTGCAGGCTCAATCCCCTGGGTCGGGCCATGTGCAGGAGGCAACCAGTAGATGTGTCTCTCTCACTATGCCCCCTCCTCTCACTCTAAAAATTAGTGGAAAAAATATCCCTGGGCCACGATTTTTTTTAAAAAAAAGTAATCGGTTTGGCTCAGTGGATAGAGTGTCAACCTGCGGAATGAAAGGTCCCGGTTCGATTCTGGTCAGGGGCATGTGCTTTGGTTGCGGGCACATCCCTAGTGGGAGGTGTGCAGGAGGCAGCTGATCGATGTTTCTCTCTCATCAATGTTTCTGATTCTCAATACCTCTCCCTTCCTCTCTGTAAAAAATCAATAAAATATATATTTTTTAAAAAAACAAGCATATGAGCCCGAGTTAAGTTTGGCTCAGTGGATAGAGCATCAGCCCATGGAATGAAGGGTCCCAGGTTTGATTCTGATCAGGGCCATATTCCTTGGTTGTAGGTCGATCCCCAGCACACACACAAAAAATCCTCTGGTGAAGATTAATCCAAAAAAAAGTGTATGAGAGAGATATATGAAAATGAAATTTCTCTCTAAGTTATATTTTTGCATGATAAATTTCATTTGGTAATTTAATATTATCTGAGAGGAAATGTGATAAGATGGTTTAAAATTATTTTAATTATTTTATTAAATTTGCTTCTTTTTCTTAGTCAAATTTTTATTGATTTTACAAAGTCAGAAAAAGGAAGGATAGAGAGAAACATCGATGAGAGAGAAACATCAATCAGCTGCCTCCTGCACACTCCCTGTTAGTGATTGAGCCAGCAACCCTGGCATATGCCTTTACCAGTATGGATGTGTTTATGTTCAACCACTGAACCACACAAGCTAGACAAGTTATTTTTTTTTTAATCCTCACCTCAATATATGATTTTAGAGAGAGAGGGAGAAAGAGAAATATCAATGTGAGAGATAAAAACATAAACCAGTTGCCTCCTGTATGCACCCCAAAAGGGGATCGAACCCACAATCTTTTGGTTCATGGGACGATGCTCCAACAACTTAGCCACCCAGCCTTAGTCAATTTTGACCTTTCTTTATAAATAACCAAAGCACATCATGCCCAGAGACTGAATTAATATCCAATATATCTGATGGCTGGAATGAGTGGCTTGTAGAACTACTGGTAAATGAACCACAATCAGATTATTCAGTGTTAATTTTACAGCTATAAATATAAGCTATTAAACATAAGATGGGAAACCATAAAACTACTAAAGGAACCCACAGGCAGCAAAATCTCGGACATATGCCGAAAGAACTTCTCCACTGATAATGCCCATAGGGCAATGGAAGCTAAAGAGAAAATAAACAAGTGGGACTACATCAAAATAAAAAGCTTTTTTATAGCAAAAGAAACTATCAACAAAACAACAAGAAAGCTCACTGTATGAGAGAAAATATTTGCAAACATTATCATGGATAAAGGTTTAATCTCCAACATCAATAGGCAGCTCATACAACTTAATAAAGGAAGATAAATGATCCAATAAAAAAAATGGGCAACAGACCTAAATATAATCTTTTCTAAAAAAGACAGAAGGAAGACCAAGAGATACATAAAAACATGCTCAAAGTCACTAATTATCCGAGAGATGCAAATCAAAACGACAATGCGGTACCATCTCACAACTATCAGAATGGCTATCATCAACAAAGGACAAGTGTTGCGAGGATGTGGAGAAAAAGGAACCCTCGTGCACTGCTGGTGGGAATACGGACTGGTGCAGCCACTGTGGAGAACAGTATGGAGTTTCCTCAAAAAACTGAAAATGGAACTCCCATTTGACCCAGTAATCCCACTAATAGGAATATATCCTAAGAAACTAGAAACACCAATCAGAAAGGATATATGCACCCCTATGTTTATAGCAGAACAATTTTCAATAGCTAGGATTTAAAAACAACCTAGGTGCCCGTCAGCAGATGACTGGATCAAAAAACTATGGTACATCTACACAATGGAATACTATGCTGCCATAAAAAAGAAGGAATTCTTATAATTTGCAGCAACCTGGATGGAATTGGAGGACATTATGCTAAGTGAAATAAGCCAGTCAATGAAAGAAAAATACCACATGTTCTCACTCATTTATGGATAATAAAGAACATTATAGAACATTATAAAGTGATGAACAAAAAGAAAGATACAGAGACAGTAAAGCATCAAACAGACTGTCAAATTACAGCGGAAAGGTTAGGGAGAGGTGGGGAGATAAGAGATGAACCGAAGGACTTGTATGCATGCTTATGTGCAAAACCAATGGATGCAAAACTGGGGGGTGAGGGCATGTATGGGAGTGGGGGCAATGGTAAGATATGTACACATATAATATCTTAATAAAAAAATGAAAAAAGAAAAAAAATACATATAAGCTATTTACCTAAAACCATGTGACTTAAAATGAAAAATCTGTAGTTTCCATAATTTGGCTAGCCCTAAAATGTAGAGAAATTTGCTTCTTTCTAGCTATTTAATGGACAGATAGATGAGAAATAAGGTCTACTTCTGATGGAAGAAATGCCAGCAGTTGTTTCTGTCACTGTGTAGGTGTTGCTTTCAATATCTAAATAAGAGTATCTTGCCCTAGCTGATTTGGCTCAGTGGATAGAGCGTCGGCCTACGAACTGAAAGGTCCCAGGTTTGATTCCAGTCAAGGGCACATGCCTGGGTTGTGGACTCAATCCCCAGGGGGGGGGGAGGGCTTGCAGGAGGCAGCTAATGATTCTCTCTCATCATTGACGTTTCTATCTTCCTCTCTGAAATCAATAAAAAAAATATATAAAACAACAAAAAAAAAACAGTGTATCTTAAAAAGGGGACTCTACTTTAGGCAAAGAAAAGTTCCATAGTCACACTCAGCAATCCTACTAAGTAGAAGACAAGATGATCGGCTAAATACTACTATGGATCAGCAATTTGAACCAGAGAAGAATTCATGTAACACAAGCCCAAAGGCATCATCTGTAAAGAGAAGGATAATCTCCAAATCCAAACAATGTTTTGACATTTAAAAAAACCACCAAGCCTGGCCTGTGTGGCTTAGTGGTTGAGCTTTGACTTATGAACCAGGCGGTCAGGTTCAAGCAGTCAGGGCACACACGCCTGGGTAGTGTGGGGCATACAGGAGGCAGTGAATCAATGATTCTCTCTCATCACGGATGTTTCTGTTTCTTCCTCTCCCTCTCTCTAATCAATAAAAATATATTTTTTAAACAACAAAAATATACCACCACGCCTGGAAATCCACTATTTCATGCAAAGATTTAAAGAACAAAATTTAAGGTCAACTCTTAATATAGGTAGTCTGTAGTTTATTTTATAACATCCAGAACAAAAACACATCTTTGGCATGGTTCTTTTGTAAAAATAGAGAGTAATTTATGGCTTTTTATTGAATTTAAGCATAATCAATGTCTTCTTAAATCTGTAACCTTGCTGTCTTTAAGATTTATCTTTGAAGCAGAAAATACCTTTGGAGGAGGACCCTTTTCCTACATGGCATATCAGCCAGTGCTATAACTGTCCTACCAGCTGGGAGCACATTATTGCTAAATAAATAATTCCTATGCCACCTATGTGATGAAGATTTAAGTATTTAAAACAATGTTTCCTTCAGAGCTCATGTCAAAAAACCATAGAAGGTATTATATCCTCTATTACAACTATATATTTAAATGTTCAAAAAAAGGGCAGATTTCTTTCTCTAGTGCTGTATGAGTTTTGATTTATAAGCCATGACTTGGGAGTTAGTTATACCACAACAAAAGAATACAAATGTTTGTCAATGTAAAACCTATCTCACGTCCCACTGAATAATTTCTCTCCAGAATAAAATGTTTTATAAATTCCCTGCACACTTTCTCCCTGTACACTGCCCTCAATAACACATCTATAATATAAAAAAAATAATACCCAATATACTTACTGAAGGTAATCTTGGGGAAAATTACTTTAATACTTTTCCACAGGCTAAAACACTTATTTCAATAACCTTTTCACATAGATACCAAATGGAGTTTCAGGTGAAGTGATTCTACTCACAAATTTACTTCTCTGAGGTAAACGAGGGCCATCACCTCCTTCAGCATCTTCTGTAGTCTTCTTTTCTTTTTTGGACAACTGTGAACGCTGTTGTTCCATTCTTTCTTTCTCCAACTTCTTTTGCTTTTCACGTTCCATTTTTTCAAGACCTTCCCGAATCCAAGCTGGAAGAGTCCTGCGTTTTACTGCATCTGTTTCACACGGGAAAAAGAAAATTTATAAGTCACGTAAGTAAAAATCTAACACATGAGTTCTTTATTCCTGAATTTCTAATTTGTGAAATTTTTGGAAAAAGAATTCTGGTGCCATTTGAGCATTTATAATAAATAATATCATTCTCGAGCAAGACAGTGCTAATAAAAACAACCCATTAAACACCACACATTTTTTTTAAAAAAAATCACCACTTTTAATAGCAGCATAAGCATTTTTTTAAATGCAATTTGCTTCCTTAATTGAGGTTTATTTATTTATTTATTTAATATATTTTATTGATTTTGTACAAAGAGGAAGGGAAAGAGATAGAGAGTTAGAAACATCGATGAGAGAGTCATCGATCAGCTGCCTCTTGCACACCCCCTACTGGGGATATGCCCACAACCAAGGTACATGCCCTTGACCAGAATCGAACCCGGGACCCTTCAGTCTCCAAGCCGACGCTCTATCCATTGAGCCAAACCGGTCTCAGCGCAGCATAAGCATTGATTAATGTTTGTAATGTGCCAAGGCACTATGAAAGTACATTAAACTATCATCATCTCAATCCTAAAAAAGGCCCTAAATGATCACTATTACTTGGTCTCTTTTGCAAATGAGAAAACTGAAACTCAGATATGTGCTCAAGGTTACAAAGCCAGTAAGCAGTGATATGGGCTACTTTAGAGCCAAACTTACATTACATTGCTTCTTAAAATATGAAGACAGAAGGGAGTCAAACAGAAGTCCATTTCACAAGTATTCCATCTGGGATACTTTTTAATTTATTTCTTAAGTTATAAAAGAAGCGATAATCATCCTAAAATATCTACTTTGTGATAAAAGACTTAAATGTTCTGGTCCATAAAGTGCTGGATTTGGATTTCCAGATATATAACAAATACAAAAATTTTCATTGGGAATACGTTAATCCTATTACTTAACAACTGAAATGTTCTGCAAAATACTTACGGAAAGTGAAATAATGAAAGGAAAATTAATCTTACAGCAGTGTACCAGATGGACTGAAAGTGGAAAGAATACAGAAAAAAAAACTAGAGGCTTTTTTAAAAGGCAAAAATGCTCATATATCGGTATAATGTATCAAATTGTCAACACTGAAAAAAATCAAATAGCCATGTTAACTTTATCTCATCACAAAAATCTATGTTTAAAGTTTTATTTTAAATAAAATTATTCAAAGATTTTAATATTTTAGACAAAATCTCCTCTTTGAAATTTTAAAGTTTTCTGACTCTAAAATAATAGAGTTTTAAAGTGTCAATTCCTAATATATCAGAGGTAGTAGAACAATTTAAGAAATTAAAACATCCTTTTAAAATGATCAAGAAACCATGCTAATGTAGTTCACTAAACTTAAATAACTACCAATTTGTGGAGGCTCCTGCTTCACAGGAAGTGTAATAGGTGAACGCTGCCGATCCCTGAATGATGATGGCCTTTCTCTTCGATTCTGGGGAGGTGCTGGAGGTCCTGGAGGTCCTGGTTGCCAATAAGGAGGATGAAATCCACCTTGCGGTGGACCAAAAGCAGCCCCATGCTGAAAGAGTATTGCAGTTTATTTTTCTTCACATTAATACAATATACACTCTGGGATACACGTGTGTTATGAACTGGGACAGTAGAAATCCATGTGTGCAGCAAATCCAAAAACTCCATGGTTCTAATATCCACCAATATTTCTGTAGCCCCAAGAACCTAAGCTTACTTTTCTTAAGTAAAAGACTTTCTGCCTACATAAATTTGAGAGCCATCTAAAATCCTCCTAATACACTATTTTCAAGTACAGAAAATAATATATATGAACTTTTTCATTCTGAATCCATTTTATAAATTAATCCTTTCACTACCAAGAAACCAAATAAATGTCAATTTTTCTGTAACCAGAAAGTTCAAAAAAAAATTTTTTTTTTATCAATTCCAACTGTTTCTTGTGAATGTAAGCTGTTTCTAAAACCTTGCAAGAAAGAAATATCTATTTTAAGTAAAGATAAAAGTTACTGAATCGTTAAACTTCTTTTTGTAATTTTGCCATTTTCGGAGGCATTTCTAAGCCATTTGCCGATCTCTTTGTCTTGTTAGCAAGGGGATCTCCCAGGCACTGTGGTAGAAGTAGAAGCTCCCTGTCACAAAAAACTATCATATCTGCATACCAAGTATGAGTATGCAGCAAGTAACTGAATATATGATAAGATTACTACCTCAAGGTGAATATTGTTTACATTTATGTCTATTACTTATATAATTAGTGATATAATGTATTTTCAAAATTTTAAATTATGATAGCTTAGTTTATAAGGTAACAACCGCAATCAGTTATTTCAAAATGACACCTAGAACTATAATTTATGAGTGGACCTTTGGCGAGTGGTAAGAAAAAAACAATGACACTATTCGCCATAGAGTTCTATGTCCCTAGGAATGAGTTAGATGCTACAAAAGAAATTATGTACAATTCTATTGACAAACATGTCATGTCAGAATGAAATAAAAAAGACAACACTACAAAAAGTCCTAACTTTACAGAGAAGGAATTGCATTTAGAAGATCTATATTCTTTAATTCTTAACCATAATCTATTATTATTGATAAATAATGTGTTCAACTACCGTGCATTTCCTAGACTTTATTGAACATTTAAATATTCCATTCTGAAATTATAAATTAGAAAATAAAACATCATATAACTATTTCACTTACACGTTTTTCATTTTATGTAATTTCCCCTAACAATCCTTTATGCCATTTTCCTAAGCAAATCAGAAAATAAAACTTTCAATGTTTTAATTCTCAAAAGTTGATAACTTTTCTGAGACATAATATGCACTTATCTGTATAAAACTGAAAAGTGAAACACATATCTCAGGTACTCTTGATGAGACAAACTTCCAAAGAATGGATTATGTGCACATCTACAGTATTAAAGCAACAAAATATCTTTCACCTGATAGTCAAACTGGTTCACTGGGCCCACTGCAAAATTATCGGGTGGTCCACCAAAGTTGTGATTGTTCTGGTTAAATATATGCCTGTTGTCAGGGGCAAATTCCCCACTGTCCTGACTGTTGCTGTCTTCGGAAGGAGGAACAATGTCCATTGGGCCTGGTGTTGGTGGCATCCATGGCTGATCTGGAGGGGGATGTGGGGGTTGCTGATGCATTCCCCATTCTATTTAGAATTTAGGCATAAAAACATTCAATAGGGAATTATAACAAAATCAACACAAATTTTTAAGCTCTCAAGAAAGCTAAATTTTTCAGTAAAGAAATAAATATAAAATTTATGACTTCTTGGTCAAATTACTTTTGTATATTTTAAAAATAAGCAATGAATTAATAAATCATTCAAATGAGGTAACTCCACTCAATTCATATCCTAAATAAAAACAAATGCCCCAAATTATTTTTAATAGATGTAACACAACTCAAAACAATTTTTTTGTTGTTGAAGTTTTCTATTTCTGTTCAGTAACAACACCATAAAAATAATGCCTAGGGATTTTTATATAATTTCTTTCTTCCATGAACACATTTATCCTCACAACACCCCTGTGAGGTAGGGGGAAATCAGGTATTATTTTTTTGCCAATTTCAGGAAAGGAAATTGGGCACACAGAAATAAATCACTTGCCAGGGTCACAAAGAAAACCAGTAGAGCATAGTTGGGGAAGTGGATGATGCTAGAGTGAGTCATTTATAAACTTAACTTGGGAACTAAAACATTTTCAAACTTGAGAAAGTTTAGTTTAGTATAGCTTTAAGAAAATTAGAAATGAACTACATCACAGTATAAAATATTAGAATATTCATTATCCTTTTAAAAATGTTAGAGGATTACTTTCTGAGTTTTCCATTCTTATATTGAAAAACAAAAATAACTACTAATAAGGAAAGGAGAGTTGAATTTACCATCAGCACATTTAAACGTAAGATTCCTCTATAAATAAAGTGACTATTAAAAATAAGTAATAGCACAAGTTTTGGAAAACTGAAATAGCATCAAGGAATCTAATCTTACTGTGAAGTAAAAAAAACAAGCAAGCAAACAAACAAACAAAACAGATAAAAACTTATGGAAGATCTTCACTATCTGAAAAACAGGGAAGTAAATATGGGTGGATGGTAGGGGCAGAGTATATTTGACAGACTAATCTGTCACATAGTGACACAATTTTTCTTTAGGAACTAGACATGTTTTGCTCTGCCAGTCCTGCTTCTGAAAGGCCAGAGGTTGCAAGAGAGAGATCATAGAATGCTCTCTTCCCTAGATGCCAAGTGAGGTTTCCAGTGTTCCCAGCCCCTGTCAGCCTAGGAATGAAGAACCAAGAAAAGAATCAAACTGAGTGCCACAGTGCTAGCAGACTGAGTACAGAATAATTTTAACCACAAAATTTCAAGGTCAAATCTAATTTAAACTGCCTATTCTTCAAGCATTGATTTCAAGAAGTCGTAAGACTAAGCAATTTAAACAATTTTAATCCTTGTATTTTAAAAATAATCCTAAAATTTGGAAAACATAAACAACAAACCTGGTTGCCACATCCTGTTAAAGTTTGAATCCCCTTGAAAATTCCCATGATTGTTTGGACCAGATTCCATTGTAGACATATCCTGTCCATTTGGCATCATTCCTGGTGGTTGTTCTACCATGCTTTGCTGTCCTGAAGCTTCTCTTTGGGCAATCCAAGCTTGAGCCAATGCAGCCCAATCAATCTGGCCTAATATAATATAATATAATATAATATAATATAATATAATATAATATAATATAGCAGAAGTGAACATTCAGAACGTAGAAGCTAAAAGAATAGTGCCTCTATGTAAACTAAGCATCTCAGTAATTTTCTCCTGGAAATTTTAAGTATTACCAAGTGTTATAGCTGAAAGGACGCTCAGATAACCTATATTCAGGCTACAAAATAAAACAAACTACCTAAGACTTTCTGAAAAGGATTCCATAAAAACACTCTTAACCAATAAATTTCTAATATTAACTCATAAGAAATTTATCCTCTGCACTTTGTTTACTGATATATATGTTTTTATTTGATTTTAGAGAGGGAGGAAGGGAGAGAAACATGAATCGGCTGCCTCCTACAGACCCCCTCACTGGGATTGAGCCCAAAACCCAGGCAGTGTCTTGACCCGGACCATCGACCTTTTGGTTGGTGCATGGGGTGATGCTCAACTAAGTGAGCCTCACCAGCCAGGGCATTTACTGAGTTTTTTTAAAGTCTTATTCCTTTTTTTTTTTTTTAAACAAATAATCAAACTCACTCATTTCTTCCTCAAATAGGTCTTCTTCAGGCCTACACTGGATTCTACAGATCTCAGATGAGTATAACTACCCCTATTCCTCCTCATAGTCACCCTTTTTTAGTTTTGGCTCCATTCCTAGTCAAAATACCTCTATTAACAACGTTATCAGTCATTCTTTACTCAAATTTAGTTACCACTAATTTAAGGTCCACCTTTATTTCTCAAATATCTGTATTTAACATTTTAAGATCTAATATTATTAATAAAGGAAACAAAGTAAAATAAGATAATTTTCACATCTATTTAGTCAAGATTAAAAGTATTCTTATACATTTTTTAAAAATATTTTTTTTATTGATCTCAGAGAGGGAGAGGGAGAGTGAGAGATGAGAGAGAATCATTGATTGGCTGACCCTTCTGGGGATTGAGCCCACAACATGGGCATGAGCCCTGACTGGGAATCTAACTGTGACCTTCTGGTTCATAGGTCGATACTCAACCACTGAGCCACATTGCTGGGCTTATTCTCATACATTTTGATGAAAACATAAATTGCCATAATCCTCATGAAGTTAAACTTGGCAGTATCTACCTAAAACTTTCCAAATATGCAAATGTGATTTTGAAAATAAAAATAATTGAACACATGAATAATGATATATATATAAAGTTATAATTATTTTCAAAAGTAAAAAACTAGCCGAAACCGGTTTGGCTCAGTGGATAGAACGTTGGTCTGTGGACTGAAGGTCCCAGGTTTGATTCCGGTCAAGGGCATGTACATTGGTTGTTGGCACATCCCCAGTAGGGGGTATGTAGGAGGCAGCTGGTCAATGTTTCTCTCTCATCGATGTTTCTAGTTCTCTATACCTCTCCCTTCCTCTCTGTAAAAAAAAAAATCAATTTTATATATATATATATATATATATATATATATATATATATATATATATATATATATATATTTAAAAGTAAAAAACTATAGCCCAGCCTGTGTGACTTAATGGTTGAGCATTGACTCATGAACCAGGAAGTTACAGTTCAATTCCCAGTCAGGACACATACATGGGTTTTAGGATCAATCCCCAGTAGGGGCTGTGCATGAGGCAGCCAATTGATGATTCTCTCTCATCACTGATGTTTCTATCTCTCTCTGAAATCAATAAAAATATATTTTAAATAATAAAAATGACAATCAACCAATCATCCAAAAGTGGACCAATTAAATTACAGTACATTCCTATAATATATAGCTATGTAGCTACTGAAAAAATAAGTTCAGATTAACCTAATAAAGGCAGGGCATTGGAAGGGATCATATCAATGAAACAAAACTGGCCATAAGTCAGTGACTATTAAAGCTAAGTAACAAATGGGGGTTCCCTATACTCTTTTTCTACATCTGTATATGCTTGAAATGTTCCATAATAAAGAGAAATGATTTAGCATACCATTGGTTGACTATACTCTACACTGAATTATAACATTCAGAATTAAGAGAAGTATACTTTACTTAAATTACACGTTTAAGAAAGATTTTCTACTTTCTTAGAAAAAAAGAACTAAATCAGTTTTAAAGATTAAACACCACAAAATGATCCAATAAACCAATTCCATCCAATTCCATCTTTCTTAATCCCATTGAATTATTTCCCACTCTTCCACATCTCTCTCCTCACCCACCCCAATTTCAGTTTATTTCCTTACTTGGATCCTGCTGGTGCTGGAATGACTGCATCCACTGCTGTTGGTTCAATGGCCATTGCTGCCAAGGCTGTCCTCCTTGATCCCACATCCTGACTTTAAAAATATATTTGATTTTCTATCTTCAACAAGATGAACATAGTTTAAAAATGAGAATAAGAGTTCTTTAATTTTAAAAACTCACACAGAAATTATTATACAACAATATATTTATGTGATCAGAGCTCTAAAATTCTGGTCAATAGGTTGCCAGAGGCAACTGGAATTTTTAGGCTGGCAAGCAAAAATAGAAAATTTCATGTTAATACTGGTGTCAGAATTTGGTGGTAGGCAGAGCTCAAATCTATTTAACTCAAAAAGAAAATACTAATTTTTCCCAATAGAAATCTCTTGAAATATAATTATTTTGAATAAAAAAAATGTGATTTCATCTCCCCCAACCAAGATTCCTTGAAGAGAGTAACCAAATAACTCTAATAATGAAGAAGAATTCTCCCTTATAAATTACCATGGCTAGTGAATGCTTAAGGTAAAATCAATTTAGAAAACTGCCATATTGCCAAACCTAATAGAACTGATTCAGACAATCTTAGAAGCATTGGAAAAATCACAAATTGGAAAGTTGTCAAAATATCACCTTAAAGATTTAATAATCTGTAATAATGCCTCCTCATAAGATATGATATTATATCCCCAGAATCATTTAAATAAATACTTTTACCAAAAATGTTTAATTGAATCCAACTGAGATTTTCTATTTTACTTCTAGTGTAAAGGAACTATAAGGGGATAAAGGAATGAGATAAACAGTATCAAAGAAACAATCAGATAAGTTCAGAGGGTGAGGTAATTTACTGGACCAGGTTTCTTAACATGAAAACAGCATGAAAAAGACTGGGGAAGAGAACATATATTAACAACTATTAAATCTAGATAATGGATATGGGGGAGAGGGTCATCACATTAGTTCACCTTTCTGTAAACTAGTTTGAGAACTTTCATAACACAAATTTTAAATTTCTACAAATCTAACATCTTTGTACTTTATCCAACACTGACATAAAACCATCTTCAAGAACCAATGACACACATAGGCAGCATATATTTCTTCAGTTTGTACCATAGGGCTTAGCATAAAATAGGGATTAAATAAATGTTTACTAAACAAATCCTCCTAGACTGACCCTTTCCTCCATAAACAACCCAAAAGCTTTGATATTGCAGGATTACAAAAAATAGAGAAGCCAGATAAGGAAGCAAGTCACACCGACTCAAATGAGACAGTTGGCTATTATAACTCAGGCTCCTAAATTTGCAACTCTAGACTTTGTAGCATTTTTATAATTCTATCAATAGCAGATGCTGACTTCTCAATTGAAGAACTGTTAATTAGGGAAGATGATTTCTTTTGTTATCTTGACTTACTTAAAAATTAAGTGCACTTATCTTCTGGTTGCATGAATATAGTCTACAATAAAGGCATTATTAGCGTATGGCTAAAGAGACACTACACAGCAACCCAGTTGAAGCCAACTGAATTGGTTAAATATACTTATCTAATCTCTCTTGAGATTTTCATTCTTCTCCCTATTCCCCACCCCCTCTTCTTTTCCAACTGCTACACCTTTAAAGTCCTTTAAAAACTAAATAACTCACTACAGCCCCTGAAAAGTAACTTCACTTATAATTTGAATTAAAAGGTAAAAAATAAAAAAGGAAACACCCCAAAGAATTATCAACTGATATTTTGACTGACCTTAGAGATTCACCTTCTGTTTAAAATTTAGACAGATTCAGACTACAGCTTGGAAGCATAGCAGCAAAATTACTTATGCCCTGAAAAAAAAAAAGAATATAAGTTTGCTCTTAGATTATGAAAAATTAGAAAAGATACTTTAGAGATGTAACGTGAAAATGTGATCATCTCCAAATTATTTTGGAACTTTTTCTTTTATTAACTATAATGAGAGGTATTAATTATTATAAGGTTAAGGGAAACAGGTACATCAGAAATGGAAAGGCAACACTTTTTTAACATTTTTTTCTTTCAAAATATCTTTTTTATTTACAATAAAATATCTCAATTTACTAACAATAACAAAACATTATCAAACTATTTAGGGATTGTCAAATATGCTGAGAAAAAAGGAACAAACATTTGAAAAGGTCTCATCTACCTGGTATTAGCTTAAGTGGTACAAGTAAAGCAATAGAATGCATTAATTCAGATTTTTCTATGGAATTTTAAGTTTAAAATTAACAGTTGTAAGGTGAGAACAATCTGTCCCTCAAACAGATTCTTCCCGTTAGGATCACAGCTTTTCATAAGTTGATAGAAAGACAAATCTATTCATCTTCTCTCTTCCATAAAGTACAGGACAGCTTCCTCCACATAGCAATCACTAAACACCAAACAAATAAATGATCTATAGCTCCATCTTTCTGTTCACTTTCAATAAATTAAAGAGAAAAAGAAAAAAATCTACAGATTTTCTAAGATATGAAGAATCAAAGAAAGTTGATCAGCACAGTCCATAATGACTGGTATAAGCAATAACAATTATATAAATCATGTAAATGTGAGACTTTGGGCAAATTACCTGTGTCATTTTCTTATGAGGATCTGGAGTAATCTTCTGTTATATATTATAGTACAAAAAAGGTACCTCTGATTATGAGAACAAAATTTAGTTATGCTGAATTTTGTAAAGTGACAGGTTTTAAGGAAAGATTTGGTATACTTGAATGTTTAATATAAACTTGTATTTATGTTTCAGCATTTGAACAATGCTTGATAGAGTTTCATTAATTATCCTTAACTCAAGAAGAAAACTGTGATTTGATGGAAAGGATTTAAAGGCCCCACCCTGCCAGCGGGTCTCCGTCGTGGAGCATCGACCTATGAACCAACAGGTCATGGTTCCACTCCCGGTCAGGGCACATGCGGGTTGCAGGCTGTCCACAGGGTGGGACATTCAGGAGGCAGCCTATCAGTGATTCTCTCTCATCATCAATGTTTCTATCTCTCCTCCTCTCTTACACTCTGAAATCAATAAAGAAATATATTTTAAAAATAAAAAACAAAAGCCCTGCTCTTTCTTCTTTCATTTTTACCATAAAATCTACAACAAATGCAAAATCTGGAAAACAAAAGGAATATGAAGGCACACCTGGCAATAATAAAATATATATATATATCTTTTAATTTAATTATGGTTTAGAGAAATAACATAGCCTTGTTATTGACTAAAAATGACATTTACATATTGGCTTAATAATGATTTGGGAAATAATAACTGTTAAAGATGGGTAATAAGTACATTAGGGTTTGTACTCTCTGAAAATTCCCACAATAAGTTAAAGATAATAAAGTATACTTGTTATAAAGAAACTTATATTGAATTTTCATGTGTTTTTGGTTTGTTTTTTGTCTTGGTTCACATAAGAATCTTCCGGAGGAATAGAGGAAACCTTATAATTATTTAAAAATTCCAGTGTTTTACCCATAGTATCATTTTCCTTTTGCCTGAATATAAAGATCCTTAGTCTCAACTTCTCAAGATTGTAAGAATTTGTTTATTGTGGAGCCAGACTGTAAGTTTCCCCCTTTATGAGGTTTAATTAACTGCTATTTCCTTGGAAATTACTGGGATTTGGAAAGAAAAGAAAGATCAATAACCAGTGTTTGCATCAGATCATCTAAGTTATCACACGAGGCTATAAAAATCTAGTTTATAGCTACTGTGTTTCCCCAAAACTAAGACATCCTCCAAAAATAAGTCATCCTCCGAAAATAAGACCTACTTACAGGTTTCCTTCTGAGTGAAATATAAGGCATCCCCCCCCCCCCGAAAATAAGCACCCCCCCCCCCCCAGGGCTAAACATGAGAGATTTGGTCCACTGATTCTGAAAGAAATGGAGTCACAAGAAATTCACCAGGAAATTCAGGAATTGGATTGTTATGATGATGTTCCAGAAAGTGATGACATGATTGTCATTGAATAAATGACTAAATTCTTGATACTGTAGAATTCACAGTTTGTCTGGTTTGTGTTGACACTACCATACTACCGTACCGTGTACAGGTAATAAATTTCCTTTCTTTTCATTTAACAATAAATGTGTACCGTATTCTTCTTCATGGAAAAATAAGACATCCCCTGAAGATAAAACCTAGCGCATCTTTGGGAGCAAAAATTAATATAAGACACTGTCTTATTTTCGGGGAAACAGGGTATGTCTAGTGTTATAGATTGAACTGTGCCCCCTGGGAAATATGCTTAAGTCCCTACCCTCACTCCCATAAACTATAAATGTAATCTTATTTGGAAATAGGGTCTTTGCAGATGTATTCATGTTAAAATGAGGTCATACTGGATTAAGGTGGATCCTAATCCAATATGGCTGGTGTCCCTATAAGAACACACACCATCACCACCACCACCACCACCACCACCACCACCACGTAACTAATCAAAGGAGCAGAGACTGGACAGACATATTTACAACCAAGGATTGCTGGGAACCACCTGAAGAAGCTAGGAAGGATCCTCCCATACAGAAGAGGAGGAGAGGGAGGAGAAGAGAGGGAGAAAGGGACAGAGACAGAACAAGCAAGCCAGAATGGACAGAGGTCTAGCCTGAAGAACTGTGAAATAATACATTTCTGCTGTTTTAGGCCCCTGAGTTTGTGGTAATTTGTTACAGCATCCCTAAGAAACTAATACAACCAGAAATAACCATCATTCATCATACCCATTTCTTAGATGACAATATATTAGAACACTGTGTTTTGAGGTTCTTAAAAATACCTGTTTAAATGACAATCACCAATTGTGTGATAAAATGAACATGCAATTTTTGTTGTTGTTGTTAATCCTCACCGGAGGATATTTTTTGCATTGCTTTTTAGAGAGGGAGGGAGGGAGACAAAAGAGAGAGAAACATGGGTGTGAGACACATCAATTGGTTGCCTCCCACGCAAGGATTGAACCTGCAACCCAGTTACTTGCCCTTGACCCAGAATCATACCTGAAACCCTCCTATGCACCAAACCTGAAACTCTCCTGTACACAGGCCAACACTAACTG